ATACGCCTCAGAGGTATCCCTGAAACTGTGGGCGGAGAAGACCTACTGCCCTTTGTTCGGAGACTTATCTCCTCCATGGGCCTTAGGTGTAACTTAGACACCCCACTGATACTATCCACCTTCCGGGTGCGCAAATCGCCAGCACCACCCGCGGGCGCTCCCAGAGACACAATAGCTACCACCAGAGACATAGCTGCGAGAGCTGCCATCATGGCTGGAGCAAGACCATTGGGGTCGGTGAAATTTGAGGAATGCGAGGTGGCCATGTACAGTGACCTCCCTTTTGCCGTGCTTGCTGCAAGGAGACAACTGGCACCGGTCGCTAAAAGACTGAGAGAACAATCGGTCCGTTACCGTTGGGGCACAGAAGGTTCATTGATGGTGCAAAAGGGCACGTACTCACTTTGACCTCAGGAGAAGACTCAGAGATGTTCTTCAAAAAGCTAGACACGTTAGCCAATGGACACGGCAAGCGGACTGAGAAACGCAACACTTAATTGTTATTATAGTGATGTTTATTATTATAGTAATGTTTTTCATGTGTATATATTTTTATAGGGTCAGGGGGAGTTTCCATATACTTTTAACCCATTAATCCAAGCCTATGCCCTAATTACCTGACTTCGCATACACAGAATAAGTCTGTAGAAAATGCTAGAATCACGCAACCTCACTGAACAGGGGTCTCCGTATAAAGATAGAAACGTGTAACCTGGTTCCTCGCAATGCTACCGTACATACTTAACTGATATTTAACCGATACCGTGATTATTGCTATGTTTGTAACCCAACAAAATGTTACTAGATCCTGTTATAACCCATATAATAACCCATATAATGGAAAAATGTATACTGTGTGTACAAAACCCAATAAAACACACACACACAAAAAGATACACTTTCAAAAACCTTAGCTTTAAATGAGACTATTGCCTCAATCTGCAAGCTGAAAAACAGATAAATATAATTCATTTTTTTTTTTTAAATATTTTATATATATATTTGTTCATATTTCCTTGCTTCTTCTTGCTTATGCTTTCCACACCTACTCCAGGTGAAACACTGATCTAGTCCCTAGGAATGCTAGAAAAGTGCATTGGGCATGCCCAACAAATTTAGACATGTACACTTGGAAGATCTCTTCACCTGTTATCATCCAGGGGGAGAAGAGGAGTCATCACTGTGATAATGCAGAGTAGTCTCCGGTGTTGGGATTCTCTCTCCTGCTGCACAATGATTTTCTGTTTCTGTCATTAGTGGATTCGTCTGAAGCTGAGATGCGTTGGAAATGGGACGGTGGCTGAAGAAACTCTAGCTGAGAGGTGTGCTCAACAATGCAATCTGACCACCTTTATAGTAAGTTTAGAAATGTTAATTACATACTTTTCAATGTTTTTCTTGCCTTATTTTGGTTTGTACATTTGTTTAAAAGTGTTTGATTGCTGGTTTTAAAACAAAATTGTAAAAAAATTGGGAACTGATGCATGTCCCTTTTTAATTCAAATGTTTGCAAACTTTCTGCTAAAACCCTTATAATAGTCTTTCTAATAAAGGTAATAATAAAGGTTTGCTCAAGGCTGACACGTGTTGTAAAAAGTCAATGTAAACCGGACATTCTATTTTAACATTCCTGGAATTTAATTTCAAACATCAGTGTGAACCCCTGGACCCTTACAGGTTTGTGGATATCCCCCAAGAATGTACTCCATTATAAAATAGTTATTTCCACTGTTTTTCTAAATTCTGATGATTTTCTGGAATTAGTTTAGGATTGTCTTGTTTTATTTAATATTACATAGTTATATAGTTAGATAGCTTAAAAGAGACTTGCGTCCATCAAGTTCAGCCTTCCTCATATATGCTTTTGCTGTTGATCCAAAAGAAGGCAAAAAAAAAAAATTGTCTGAAGCGCTTCCAATTTTGCAACAAACTAGGAAAAAAATCCTTCTTGACCCCAAAATAGCAGTCAGATGTCTCCTTGGATCAAGCAGCTATTACCCCACTAATTAGAAATTATATCCCTGTATGTTATGTTTTTGCAAGTATTTATCCAATTGCAGTTTAAACATCTGTATGGACTCTGACAAAACAACATCTTCAGGCAGAGAATTCCATATCCTTATTGCTCTTACTTTTTATTAATACTATTACTTTTTCCATATTAAAGACTTAAAAAATCTCTATTGGGGGGCGAGGCCTGACTGCCGAGTAGGCTAGTCGCATCTAGACTGAGTTCCGGGTCTATAACCCTTACATCACCTGTTTTTGCCCAACAACCGCTACCTTCTCATGAAAACACACACGCTGGGTGCCCCTAAGAACCCGGTGAGCACCAATCTTGCCATAAGCAAGCGGGCATCTTGCGGTTGCATGGAGGAACAAACTTGCAGCCTGTGGGCGGCTGAGGCATAGAGAGGCGGCGCTCTCCTTGCACTTGGGTTGGCTATACGGACCAAGCATGCTCCCCCCACTGGGACCCATATGGACTGTACCTTATCCAGGAGCTGGTGGAGCACAGATTCACAGGACTTAAAGGCACAACCGCAACAGCTACTACCACCCTGCATGAAGGGCATAGGCTGAGCCTGTCAAACGCTCCTGTCTGCAGTGTGCTACAACCAAACCTACATGACTTTTGCTTATTTTTAAACTGTTGTCTTATATGATTTTTCCTCGACTTTACATAGCTTGGTGGACTCTCTTCATGTTTTAGCACTTACACCCACATCTTTACCATGCACAACTATTTTATTACACTCAGTATTTCACGCATGGTTATGATGATAATGTTTTAGCCTGTCTCTTTAACCAAAACTATTGTCACCCACGCTGTTAAGCTTATCTGTTATAGGCTAGTGCCCCTCATTTAAGCTTAGTCCTTAGACACTTATAAGATTCCTGCTTTCACTCTTCTATGCCTCAGGACTTGCTGCCTACCTAATTATTATTGCATACTTGCTACAACATAGGAGCAGGTCTATTTCGAACAACTACCTTGACTCCCTATACTGGCAGGCAGCGTAGCATGATATATTTGTCACTTATGTTTTCTACTCTCTGATGTACACTAGCTTAACATGTTTATTATAAAAAAAAATTTACATTGTTGAAAAGCCTATGTGTGCTGTTGTGGCACATTAACCATGCTTGTTAACCTCTTGCACAGAAAAAATAACAAACAAAAAAAATCTCTATTGGTGAAATCAAATCACCATATTACTAAACGTGTAGTATGGTCCTTTATTGTATTACTTAGTATGGGTTAGGAGAAATGGCAGCGATGACCAATGGCGAAAATAAATTTTTGATAATAGTAGTAAATTATTGATAATTTGACATAGTATAAGAAGGGTTAATTAGTTGCAAGTTTATTTCCTGTTATAGGTAATGAGTTAGCTAGAGGCATAGTACAATCCTTTAAACCCATACTCTCCTCACTGTCACAGCTTCGGAAAGTCTAGTCTATGTTAGTAGGAATAAATAGGAAAAATATATATTTATGCTTCTTATGAGAAACAAAAAAAGAAACATTTAAACATAAGTAGATGAGAAAATAAAATATAAGTGCTTCTAAATTCTTGGTCTTTTAAAAGTCTGGAAATTAGGGAAAATATATATATTTAATAAAGAAGTTAGTGGTCTGCCAGGTTATTAAATACAAGTTTTAACTCAAGTCCTTCAATCTTTATTTTACAATTTACCCATTAGTTTTTTCACCTTTTACTTCAGTTCATTGCTACTATTTCACTTTGGATTATTACTATTACAGTCTGTTGTAGTGGTTATGGTGTACATATGCCCATGGCATATTCCTAATTTCTGTGTCATACAGTATTTGAGTGGTGATTCAAGGGTCCTCAGATAATCTACAGCCCAACTCATTGCTCAGTTAACACCAAATATTTTTTTTACAGGTTTTGACTGTTTGTAAATATAGATATTTGTAGAGCAGAACACTCAGGACTTAAAAAAAATATAATTTTTAAAGAAAAAAAATTAACTTTTTTGTCACTAAATAACTTTTGCTCAACGTTTGAGAGTTTTCTGTGACACACAAACTAATGTGAATTTTTCAAGCTGTTTTCATGGGTCCTTCTCAAGACATCTCGAGCAAAAGTTGGACATCAACACCAATGCATTACAAAATATATATTTTTTACGTTAAATATTTTAAGGGACACTATAGTCACTAAAACTACTTTTTCTTAATGAAGCAGTTTTGGTGTATAGATCATGCACTGCAGTCTCACTGCTCAATTATCTACCAATTAGGAGTTAAAGCATTTATTTATGTTTATGCAGCCCTAGCCACACCTCCCCTGGCAATCACTCATACAGTTTGAATAAAAACAAAATGGTTTCACTGTCAATCAGATGTAATTTACTTTAAAAGTTTGTATCTCTTGCTCTGCAAATTGAACTTTAATTGCATACAGGAGGCTTCTGGTGGTCTAGAAGACTATTAACAGAGCAGGAGATATGAAATTCTAAATTAAACCAAAATTGCAGTAAAGGAAGTGTAAACATTAGATGTCTCTTTATAGGAAGGTTGTGTAAGTCACATGTAGGGAGGTGTGGCTGAGACCACATACACAAAGTGATTTAAGTCCTAAATGGCAGAGAATTGAGCATGATCTATACACAAAAACTGCTTCATTAAGCCAAAATAGTTTTGGTGATTATAGTGTCCCTTTAACCCTTGTAAGTACTAAACTGTTTTGTACAACCAAGCTAGCATGTTAGCATCCAAGTCTTCCAATATTATTATTATTTGAGAGTTTATAATATACAAAGAAATTAGGTTGAAATTTGTAGCCAGATAAAAAATTGTTTGTTTTGTTCATTTGATAATCAGAGTTTTTTGTTTGTTTTTTCCGCTTAAAAACGTTTAATACTTGATAATTACCTTGAACTTCTAGTAAATACATAACACAATTAACTAATTAAACTATAAATTGGCCATTTGCGTTACATTTATATATATATTGTTTAAGACCGTGTAAAACAATTTCTTTTATTGAATAAAACAAACTAAGAAAACGCATCACGGGTATATATATCTATAAAAAGAAAATTACATTATAAAACCTTAGTTACATCATTTTAGAACCCCACAAATTCAAATTTTATTATAGTTCATGAAAAATGGCAGTAAAATGCAAGTGCCACATGCAAAATATTGTTGAGTAAATGGTACTTTTTTAACAACAAATTGTATTACAAAAAAAATTACATAATTATTAAGAAATTAACAACTGAAAGTTACATAGAAAAATTCAAGTCTGAATATTTTTTTTATTTTTACAGATTTTACAGTGTCTAAAAAGGAATCGGTGTTAATGGCGAGTATGGCTTCATAATTCTACACTTAATTCATGTAGCTACTCCATCCAAACTATTTAAACAGCTACAAAAAACAACACGTCTGAAACGTAAAAATGTATTAATATGAGTATACCATTGAATTGATAATGCCCTTGTGCCAGACATAACTGGAAGGATATAAATGGTAATGGAGAAAGTACTTTTCAATGTTAGCCAGCAAGTATAACATTATTTAGCACTTAGTTTGGTGGCTTACTTGATGAGTGTTCGTAATCACAATAGACATGCAGGATTTTATTATTTGAGCTTTTAAAGTTCAAGTTTGTATTTACTGAAGACGTAAGGTGTGATGCCGTAACACCATTGGCTAAGCACCTTTTGTGAGATCCCAGCTGTAGATACTTTACACCCTGTAATTCATGAGTGAAAACATACATATTTTGTTAAGCAGACCACATACAAAGGACTAGGTTGACTACATAGTAAACATATAAAACATTATCAAACACTATTAGAGTCACAGAACAAGTGTATACTACAATGAAAATACATTGTTTATTGGATACCCCATGAATACAACACATGCTAATTCTTAGCTCGTACACTTTCTATTTGTTCCAAACATCTATATTTATATGCCTAGGATAATATCCCGTGTGATGTACATTAGCCATATAAGCATCAAATTGGTACATATGACTGACTCTAATATGTCATGTAGCACGATCCTATATCACTTGGTCCCTATGAAATGTTGCTGCATTATAAACCAGCTTTTGATGTCAGACCATACTGGAATGTTAGTCTAAAACCAACCATCAGCCGAATAGCCTATATTAAATAACGCACATTGAAAACGCTCACAAGCCAGTGCAATGGTGCAATGTGAGATGTGATTCAAGGTAAACAAACTTGGAGAATGGTGTATATCACCAAAAGGATATGGATTGTGTGGTCTGTGGAAATGCTGATATTGTGAATATGACATACCTAGACAAAATTCAGTTTGTGTAATCAATAGGATATGACCGAGATTTTAGAAACTGAGCAGTAACCATGCACACATATAAATCTGATTTTGTCTTAATGCAGTAGATACAATTCACTTGTTAACATTCTAGCTAAATCGTATAGAATTGTTCTGACATGTTAAGTGCTTAATATAAAAAAAAAAATTGAAGTCTAATTATAATTGGGACTGATTAACATATATCCATTACACTGGTTCAGATTTACCGAGGATACATGTGTCATGCTCAGAAATTAATTTTACAGAGAATAAACACTTACAAAAATAACACCTAGAAAAAACTGTTTATTTGTTCTTGCCAACATACGGGTTTGAGAACATAGGGGCTTTCTTTCTAGCAGTAAAACAAATAAGAAAAGAGGTCTCAGATTTTCAGATAAATAATACTCTGTTAAGGGGGTCAGGTCTTATGGGTACACGGTTCACCCCATGAAAAAACGAGACGCTCTGCCTGAACCTATTCACAAACGAATACATAGATAGAACTGAAAAGAAGTTTAATGGTAACTTGCTTCTATGCAAGTATTTAACTCACTTTGCCTTTAGTGCTTAATTCTTAGCTGTACAAAGACATAAAACATGCCAATATAGATATATAGCATTTGGCTGAATTCTGCACTCCCATGATGGTAGACTAGTTACCAATAAATCTTCTTTTTAAAGAGAAATATCTGCAGATTATTATTATTTAGGTTTTTTTTGTGGTAGAATAGAATGCTGGATCGGTGAATCAAAATAAGTAAAAATAAGCGAGACTGATCTATATCTTAATCTAGACAATGTCTCGAAATCTGGTTTGTGTAATTCTTGACCCTGTATATTCAAAAGCATAATATTTTTTTTCAGGAATGCTATTAAATATCCAACCCTGTATGATAAGGCAAAATTGCGCTTTCGTGAATATGTTATTCGCAACTCTGCCGCTGTTTAAATGCCCTGTTGATTTATTTAGAAAAAATACTGTATCAACCTTTTAAATGAAAAAAAACACACTGTTAATATAAAATTTTCTCCTCTATAAAAGTGTTTTATTTTTTTTATTTCTTTAAACGTAGAACCCTGTATATTTTAATGATAGGTGATCATTTTCAGCGTAGTGAAAATCAATACCTATGCAGTACTGGCCAAGATCTTGCAAAGTAATGAACACTTTGTGACATGCGTCATAAAATGCTACATCATATAATGGTTATTTAATTCTGTTAAAGTTTCTTTAAAATAAATCGAGTTGATTTATTGTTTTTATTGACACATTAAATCTACCATAGCTTAGAAAATCTAGAACAAAGCACCAAAACCCTAAATTTATCTAAATTTGCCTACTTTCTATTAATTTGTCATTTCTAAATATATATATATTTTTCCATGCTCTTAGTTACCATTATATGTTTTTTTCAATCTCTTATATTTTTAATAAAACTGTAGTTAGTATATATGACTTGTTTGTATTAATTGCATTATTCCCTGTATCTGATAAATTATTGCATAAAGTTATGATTTATGGTTAGCGTATTTGTGGTTTTTATTTTTATTAAGCGATGCCCTATCATCTTGTGTTACTTTATACCATGTTATAAAATTCATTTAAAAAATGACTATTTCCATGTAGTATCAGTAATTGTTTATTAAAAAATAAACAATGTGAAAACAATTAGAATCTGATCCATTAAGCGCTAGAGAAGGTAAGCTATGTATTATACAAGGCACTGGTGCTTAAAGTAGACCTGCCACATGTGGGGGGGGAATCATAAAAATCATTAAAGTATTAAAAACTGTTTCTATGTTTAATGCCAGCATTGTTTTGCATGGTTTGGCAGATTTTAAGAAGTTTACGTTTTAGAAAAGTTTTGAATGTATTTTTTTTTTTTCAGAGAAACTCTTGATACAATAAAATTGCCTTTTTTATGCATATAAACCTGCTACTATTGTCTGCACCGGTTATTAAATAAAGTTGCCAGAAATTGAATTTATAGAAACGGAAAATGAGCAACCAATCCGAGTTAGGGTGCCAGATGCACACTGGGAAATATATTGTCACACAGACTATGAAATTACAATTTGTTTTAGAGCTGCTGAACAATTTAAAATCGGGTATTAACATATGATGAAGACTGCTATTGACATTACATTTTATATCAAATGACAGACCTGCCACCAAAGGTTTTATTTGACAAAGAGGCCAATATCCACTCATCTATTTCTATTTAAACATCTGTAATATTCGTAGCTGGGAATGGCTTGGAGTATCGCAGCTGATATAATGAATGGTGTATATAGCACCACACACTTCCTACTGTGTTAATGCCATTCTTCTACCCATGCAGAAATATTCACCAACCATTGTTGACCCACCAAGTCAAGACTGGGCACTCTGACTCAACACACAACAAGGTGAAGTAAAAAACTGGTGGCCTATGCATATTCCTGTGCTTATTAGTAACTCATGAGAAAGTCACTAGGGTCGGCACCATTACAGTTGGTCTTGTTAGCTTTCTCTAATATGAGGTCTCTCAAGTAAATCATTATTTAAGTTATTGCGTCTTGCTATAGCACGCAACTGTCTAAAATATCACAGAATGCATTCCTTTTTTCCAATGCTAGCAATGCTTTCCAGAAATTGTATTTTAGAGCCAAAGCATCATGATGTAATCACATTGCCATCACCACGGAAGTGCTGCAGATGTAAGATGTTTTCTTACTTACTTCTACTGTGCTACTCAACTCAGTCAATGCCTCAATAGCATTTACAGGTTTGAAGGACAGTCTGTTCCAGATAGCACTCTGGGTACCAACACCACTTCATGTCAAAGAAGTGGTTATGATGCTCACAGCCCACTGGCATACATATTTTTCTAAAGCATTACTTGCTATGGGCTGCCAGTGATCCGCAGAGAGCGTCTCTCAGCCTATCACTAATGCCAAAGCAAATGCTTTCACATTTATGAGAATGGCAGGAAAAGTCAGGAACGGTGCCTTGGGGCTGCACTTAAGTGTTAAACCATTCAAAATTGCCAATGAACACTGTACACCATAACCACTTTACTGGTGCAAAGTGGTTTTGTGCCCGGAGCGTTTTTTTTTAATTATTCCTTAATTTTGCAAATCATTTCAAATCATTCGGATATATCAAAAGAACAACTATTGAGAGCCTTTAAAAAAGCACAATTAATGTTACTTTTCCAGATCTAGTTTTTATATCTTTGTCTGGCATATTAAACCGCATTTTGATTAAAACAATGAAATGGGAAACACGGTATAACATGATATTGGAAGTTATACAACACATAACAGTGAAAGCGGCTGTGTTTCTGGTGCACTGTAACACCAATAAACAATATGTGCATCTATCCGAAACATGTTCTGCAAAATGTGTTTAATATAATTTACACTGAAATCACTATGCTCATATTTAGCATATTTACCATTCTTCCTTTTTAAGAATGATCATTTTTTTTTCTGTAAATAGATGGCATTATAACGAGATTCACTATAGACAAAGAATGGAAGTAAAAAATAAACTGGTACTACTTTGGTCTACTTTGGTCATAGAAAGCTAAAGGTTTTTAATTTGGTGAAGAGATTGTCTCTAATAGTGTAAAACATACCTATTGCAATATAATTTGGATATTACATTTTGGAGTATAGGTGTACGGGTCTGAAGGGGTAAGTTGTAATTACACTCAACCATTTAATATCCTTTGATTTAATGTTGATATTTTTTTTTTTGTTTGTATGCAACTATAGTTACAAAGTTAATTTCTACTCACTCTACGATTTATTGAAACAAGCAAGCTTTCACCCTTTTTGTGATATTAGACTAAGCAAGGCATTCTTAAACTCATAAGGTTAAAAGAGTATTGTAGATTTGTGGGGAGTTTTAAAGTGCAGAATAATATGAATCCTCGCATATTATCTCAAGTGATGTAGTTGTTGCACTATTCCGACCCTATTTTCTCATTTGATTTAGAAAAAAATTTAAAATGATGTACTAAAATTTATAGAAACGTTTTAAAAAGTTCACTATAGGTTCCACATGCATGCAGTACTGCGGTTGTTCCAACAAAGCCGATTATATTGCAAATCATGGCAAACCACTGTTTTTTTTTACAGACTTATACAATGCAAAGTACGTAAAGGTTTTTTTTTTATTATTATTATTATTATGGAAAAAAATAATAATACAAAACATGTAGTAACACATAGAAAAAAAAAGTGGAATGTGTTTAAATATTGATTTCAGATATAAAAAAACAAAAAAAACTATCAATTTCTATACCTACAATGCTACACAACTGCTTTTAACACAAAATTAACAAAAACTTTTAAAAACAAATTATAAAAATGTGTTTGTCTTAAAAATAAACAGAAAAGAAATGAAAGAAATATTTTAAAACCAAACACAAATATACAAAAAGGTAGTTTTAATTTTCCTGCATGCAACAGCTCATGTTTGCTGGAATGTACTACAATTAACTCCAAACCGTTTTTTCTTTACCTTCTATAGTTGGACTCAGAATCTCTCCTTTAACCCCTGCAGGACACACCTGATATATTGTTTATCATTAAGGGGTTAAAAAGACACATTAATCATTAACTTGGGGAGAAGAAACACTGTTCCCCACTCCCTCCTTAAAAATTCCCTCTAACCCCCCCCTTCCAATTATTCTTAAATTCACCATAAGCGTTTGACTGCACAAAAATCAACCACACAGTTTATTTTACTAGATTTTATATATATATATATATATATATATATATAAAAAAAAACCTACATACTAAAATAAAATTAAAAAAAATAATAATAATCTTAAAACTTGTAATTGCACCAAAAATTGCCCACATTGATAAATAATAATGAAGTCTAAATGCCCCGACAAAACATCTATGTAATCGAATGTACAAATGCCCACAAACTGCTGTGTGATAATTCAAGAGTACCAAACATGTGTCTCCGCAGTTCCAGTTAGATATGTTTTTTCTCGATTTCCAATTGCTTAAAAAAATTCTGCCTGACAACAGCGACTGCAGAGACACAGGATAGGCAACATGTCTGTATAAATTCTCTCTTTGCTTTAACTCGCTATATAATATTTATAGAACACCTATTTTTTGTCAGCCTCCGAAGGTGCTCCTCAGTAATGCATACAACATATCAAACATTGATGTCAAAATAGGTATACGTCCTATTTTAACTGGTGTCCAACAACTACATATATAATACAGTAATCTACCCTGCATTATTTAAAGGATCAAGACCAGAGGCGATACTACTTTAATATATATATTTAAGAAAATACAGGAGAATAACATTTAACTCTGGGTTATGGGAAAGAAAAAACAAAATCACCAGATGAAAGATTAACGTGTCTTTATAGAGGCATTAAGAAAATTACTGTAAGAAATGTTTGTCAACTGGCAATAGAAGTTCGTTCCGAGGGTGCACAGTCCAGAAACAGATCCTGACCCATACAAAAATTGAGGAGTTTTACATCTGGATTGTAAAGAGGACATATAAGGCAGGGGGTGTTGAATAATTTGGATGATGATTATGGTGAATTACAGATCTCACAATTCTTTTCAGCCTAATGCTTATAGAGAATTATGGGGTTTGTAGTTCAACAGCTCTTGAGAGAGTGCGATGTATTATTCCGAAAAAAGGGTTTCAAACGTGCAGTGGTTTTGACCTACACGATAACAAGAAATACGTACTTTATATTTCATATCTTTAACGTAAAGAGACCACGGTCATTTTTGTTACGTCATACCTTTTTTTCTCACCCTTCTGTCAGTAAAATAATTAGAACTGTTTCCCAAATCTATCTTTATATAAAAATAAGTGTTCCTTAAAGGGAAAACAGATCAGAAAAAAAAATGTTGGGGATGATGCTTAGAAAACAACGGCCTTTCTGTCACCATTTTTCTTTTAAACTACAGTGTTTTTAAAATTCCTGGTATTGACTAGTAAATCCTTTCAAATCAAACTATGGTAAGCAGCCATTTTCTCCTTCATCTCCCCACACTCTTAAAGCTGAGGTAGCTTGCGTGCGTTACAATGCTATAGAAACAGTGCAATGATTGCTATGGACTTTTATATCAGGGCGGTGCTTAGTCTATTGGTCGTAATATATTGCAAAAACAGCCAATGGGAAGCTGTTCTGCAGCCCCGAACCTTGTTTAATACACCATATTGTTAATAACAGTACTCAAAACGAAAGGATTGTCTATTTATTTCTCACTAGAGATAATGCCCCCCCAAGGGGTAATCATATGAAGATTTTGTTTAGAAAATACAAAACAAAACAGCTGCTCCCCACCCTCACTAAACTCATCTGTGCATCTTCAGAAAATGGCGGCAGAAAACATGAAGTGTTAAGGTAATTATGTTTCATTTATTTTCCCTTTAAGGTTCTTTTTAGTAATTTCTTAGGACTCAACTCACAGGCTGTTGATATCTGTACACACTCCTTGAACAGGTCACGGACAGTATAAATGTAAAATTTCAATAAGGAGCATCGATGGTCGGTACCTTGACTATAAGCAAGATCCCTAAAATGAAAAAGCTTCATAGATCCTGCTATGAAACCGTATTGCAGTTTATTGTTTTTTGTTTTTATTATATGTATCTCTATATATATATTTATGTATGTAAATACAAAAGCACAACTGATCGCTCAAAGTGCAATGCCCTATTAATGAAGCGGATAGGTTTAAGCTAACTCCGTATGATACAGGTGTGGTCAAACTCCTATTCCCCTTAATTTACTGCGTTTTTTTTTAAATACTGGTGCAGTGTTTATTAGTAAAGTCCTTGTGTTTTCTGGTTTATTTTAGTGAATTTCAGTTTGGCTACATCTGTATAAATGCATTGTTTAGCCCTCAAGGGAAAGATGGGGAGACACCTAATGCACTTTCTCCCTCTATCCCTTTAAGGGTAAAACAAGAAATTATACTTTTCTAGACATTTCTAAATAAACTTGTTTGTAAAGCACTATTTGGTGAACTATATTGTGGTGATTATTTGAATCCCCCCAAGACATTTAATCCTGGAGATTGAGGTACAGTGGGGCATTGCCATATTGATAATTCTCTTCTGGAAACTGTAGTGCAGAGGTGGTCAAATATGGAACAGGTGTTTAGTGGGCTACAAGCTCCATAACTCTCTGACGGCAATGTTTTATGGCAGCGGAAGCCCCTTCACAGCTGAACATCCATCTTTGAATCCCTTGCTGTAGTGCTTCTTTCACAGGCACTTACGTCAAGTGACTTGGTAAAGAGGCGTTTTGTTTATTTGAGACCTGATTTGTGTGTAAAGAAAGTGCACTGAATTCAGAAAAAAAAAAACACAGCTAAAAATGCTCATTGTAAAGTTTCCGTAACAGCCCTGATTGAGCGTGAAATAATTACATTTCCTGTAAAAATAAGTAAATGTTAGATCGCAGCAAAACAAAATGATCCATGTGACATATACGTGTATACACATTGACATAGACTATATACATTAAAATCAGAAAAACCTCAAATTGCAACAAAAATAGGTTTACCAAAGATAATTAAAAGGGTACCATATGCGAGATATGGACTGACATTTCTAAATGTGCCTAAGCCTTAAGTACAAAAAAACCCATATAATAATTCAAATTAAAAATAAAATGAAGACACAGAATAAGGCTGCAGTAAATATGTGACTTCATAGTACTCGTATATCCCTGAGAGAGGGGACTATTGAAGAAGAGGTGAAATTCAACCATGTTGAAGGTTAAGCTGTAGACCAATGCTTCTGTTGTGCAACTTTTTTTTTTGTGTCCTGAGGTGAAGAAAATAGTTTATATAAGATTTGTGTCTTTTTTTTTAAATTTTTTTTTTTTTAAGTATATATTTTGATTGCTGAAGCTGAGACAAGCTTGAAGTATTTTAGGAAACTGGAGAAAAAGAAGCAATAGAATATGAACTGTACGTTTGGATTTCTGGAGCTCCCAAGTATTTAGACGATGAAATTCTGGAGACATGAAGGAAGCATTTATATAGATTTTCTGAAAGGTCCATACACAGAGGCTTATTGAATTCTGAAAGTACAAAAGAGATGGATTTCTGGAATCCTCGATAAATGAAAACAGAAGACTTATGGAAATCTGGAGGTAGTAATTAGCGGAAGTATTGGATTTTGAAGATCGAAGACAGAATTATGACTTGTAGAATTCTGAAGATCTAAGAGCAAGGCAGCCGATAAACAAACTCAAAACGACAATGGATATTCATTTATATAAAGGTAAAGGGTATCTGCTTTGTTAGGTTAAAATAAGCAATCATCAAATCACTTGAAAACAAAAACACAAGGAAAAAAAATGTTAAATGCATATAATAAAAAAGCCAGTTTCACAAAGTGTTCCACATTAGCAGGAAAAAAAAGTGCTAATGTCCAGTGCAAGTAGATTTAAGGGGAGCTTGCTGGGCTTATGGCCGGGCTAGATGCATCAGAACGGCTGTAGTCGCTGACAGACCCATTCCTGGAGCTGAGACCACCTCGACCCTTGAGCATACTGTGTTTAAAGTTGGGGTGACGGCGGGCATGCTTTGTTAGGTGATCGCTACGCATAAAACGCTTCTCACAGATCGGGCAACTAAATTTCTTCTCTCCAGTATGTGTGCGGTAGTGTCGAGCCAATTCGTCCGACCGGGCAAATTTCTTGTTGCATTCTTCCCAACTGCATTCAAATGGACGTTCACCTGAGAAAACCAAAAGCAGAGACATACAGTTAGTATTTGTTTTTCTGATTTGCACTGCATTTCACAAAGGTTTATGATAAAAGACAAATGTCAGTAATATATTTGAGCAGTCTGGTGGCAGTGTTCATGTATCACATAAAAACAACATAATATAGGGAGATCCGGAGAAACAGATAAGGTGGAGCGCATTAGTAAGATTCTCACATTAAATTCATTTTAAAGGGGGCACTCACCATAGCTACTACAGGTCATTACAGTGGTTACGGACAAATAAGCTTTGGGTGCCACCCCCCTTGTTTGTGTAAAATGGTTTTCAGGTTGTATTAAAAAAAACATGTCTCTCCAGAGCACCACAACCTGGCCACTTTGTATCAGCTCTGCAAATAGCAATTCTTTGAGCTTATTTCATCACCGAAAGGATTAGGGTGAAGTGAGTTAAGGGATGTTTCCCGTGCATCGTGCAAGTACGTTTATTCCCGTTTACTCAAGTTACTGTCCTGAAATGTCTAAACAAACCAGCTATCATGGTATCTGCATAGAACCAACCAAAGTCATGTGTTAGAATTTAGGCTTCCTCCTTCTACAGAATACAAAAAAAACAACAACAAAAACAACAACAAAAACAAAAATAACAACCAACCCTCCCCTCCACCCAAAAAAAAACAACCAACCAACCCAAAACATACCATAACGCAGGCAGTTGACAGCACAGGTGTATTTTAACAACTGCACATACACCACTTTTGCCAGGGACACTGTTTTACTCCACACCCTATTAAGACTTGCTAGTCCACTACTGATTTACAAACCACCCTAGTTTTACACTGGTATTAAAATGTATAACTTCACGATCTCTGATTTATTGTTTATATAACAATTTTTCTCCCCCTCCATCTTACCTTCTTAATTCTTTCTCCTCCTTCTCCCATCCCACTTTTTTCCTCTATTTTCTTTGATATCATAATTCCATTACGTATATAACAATAATATCCAGAATACTATATATATATATATACCTTGATTTAAATAGTCCTCTAAAAATGTTATTTATTCTTTTCAAATGTGTTTTTTTGAAAATATTTATATTTTATAGCAATATATGCAATACAACATCGTTAAGACAAAGAATATCTCAAAACATATCAGTTAACATAAATAGCATGTACATGAATCTAAACAGTGATGGTAATATAATTGTAACAATATAATATTATGTGTTTCTATACGACAATGAACCTTTTTTTGGGGGGGATAAAGGAAATAATTTATATGAATATTAGTGAAAGGGGAAGAAAGATTAGGGTAGGATGGGGTAGTGAGGGTAAAGGGGGTTTTGGTACCCTTTATTATTATTATTATTATTATTATTATTATCATTCATACAGCGCCAACAGATTCCGTAGCGCTTTACAATATTATGATATATTAGTTTTAACTAGTGATGTCCCGAACGGTTCGCCGAATGGTTCGCCGAAGGGTTCGCCACGGACTCATCATTGAGTAAACTGTGACCCTGTACCTCACAGTCAGCAGACACATTCCAGCCAATCAGCAGCAGACCCTCCCACCTCCTGGACAGCATCCATTTTACATTCATTGTGAAGCTGCATTCTTAGTGAGCTGTCCAGGAGGTGGGAGGGTCGGGGAGGGAGGGTCTGCTGCTGATTGGCTGGAATGTGTCTGCTGACTGTGAGGTACAGGGTTAAAGTTTACTCAATGATGAGTCCTCGGCGAACCGTTCGGGACATCACTAATTTTAATGTTTTTATCACGTTGTGTTGATATTTTTATAAAAATAACATTTAGTCTTGCATAGATTTGGTTAACATATTGATGAAAGCTATAAAGGGTATATATAAGTTAAATGTGATCAAACCTAATTATTTACAGTAGAAGAAACAATAAAGAATAAGAAGACAGCATATCCAGTAAAATATTCTAATGAAGATGTTTTGTAGACTGTAAGCTTGTTTGAGCAGAGTCCTCTTCAACCTATTGTTCCTGTAAGTTTTCTTGTAATTGTCCTATTTATAGTTAAATCCCCCCTCTCATAATATTGTAAAGCGCTACGGAATCTGTTGGCGCTATATAAATGGCAATAATAATAATACTAATAATAGAAGAAGGAAAAAACAAACCACCTTCTGCAAGCCTAGTCTTAAGAGTAAAACCACGAATGTGTAACTGACACAAAATAAACGCACTGATTTCAGACAGGAGCTGCGCACTCAGTATGAGACATACAATATTTATTTTTACGATTATTTGGCAGCTGACATAAATGGAAACTCAGTAACTAATCCCTCATTTAACATGTTATACAGAGCCAAAATACAACATGCCGCTATGTGTTTGGTGACATTCTGTTTGCAATATACTGCAGTGGGGAAAAGGCTTGATCATTTTTGCAGAGAGTTTCCCATTTGACTAGTCAGCTGAACTAACAGTGTGAGCTGCAGAGGGCTCTAGCAGAGATATTTCTTTACAACTAAAAAGGTAAATTGAAAGAAGGGAAGGGAGAGATCAAATAAAACTTGGAATAAGGCTACAGGGCTCCCGGTTTTGGGGTCCTGTCCCAGGGACACCGGGGAACTGACCTCTCGGCCTCACAGAGCGAGCAGGTCATTAGATACCCTGTGCCGCGGGAATTAGGACAATACACCTGAAGGATAGGTTCAGGAGCAAAGTTTCATTGCGAAACAAAGAAAGAAAATTGTATAAGAAAAATGAGACTGTCGCACTTTATTAGAAATACACAGAGTCAACCTTATTTTACTCTACAATTTGCACCATAAATACATTTCTCTGAGCAGTAACGTTTACCCCAGTATCTACGGTGTTATTCAATACGTTTTCAATATAGAGAATCCATAGATAATTAAATATGAATGTAATACTTTAGCCTGAAATAGATGAATTATAGGAATCTCCAACATTGCTTATCCAGTTTAGCTACTGTACAATGTCCTTTCCTGTTCTCCACAATTTTTTTTCATTTAGAAAATAGCTCCACAAGGCCGGTTATTTGCTGAAGTAGGAATTGTATGGAATTTTTTAACACCAAAGTGGCAGAACGTGAAGCATAGTTCACTTGGTAAATGTATCCAGTTTTCTATTTTGTACTTACATTTGAAATTCACTTTGAATTGGTGACAATTCTCACTTTTAATAAATAACCCTGCCAGTTTTTTAATACGATATAGACGCTGCCTACTTAAATATCCCCCTCCTCAAATTTTTTTTACTCCAGTACATTTTGAGATTAGTATTTGGGGGAGATAGTGCTATTCCTCTAGAGCAGTAGTTTCCAACACAGTCCTCAAGTACCCCCTAACAGTCCAAGATTTAGGGATTGCCCAGTTGTGTTTAAGTGGTGTTCTTAGACAAAAGAAATAAAAAAAACACTTTAGACACAACAGGGCAATCCCTAAATCCTGGACCGGTAGGGGGTACTTGAGGACTGGATTGGGAACCCCTGGTCTACAGCTCATTAGGCAGGATAGGAGGACTGAGGGTGTTGGAAGCTGGACTTCTAGGAAGCTTTTTATGTCAAACAAACTAAAAATGGTCTTTATACTTAGTGCCAGGGTGAGCATAAATAGAGTTATTCACAGCATTTGGAGTGACAGACAGAAAGCATCTTTTCCCTGGCTCGGGGTAGGCAACCTTCGATGGTCCAGATGTTGTGGACTACATCTCCCCCGATACGTTGACAGAATTATGACTGGAAGAGCATGATAGATGTAGTCCAATGTCTGGAGTGCCAGAAGTTGCCTACCCACGCCCTAGCTGCTCTTTGCACATTATTCCTTAAGTTAAATTATTGAAGAATAGCCACTTTCCAGAGTTTTATAAAAAACCGTAGGGAGCAGGAAGACAAGGATAGGGGAGCTTTGTGCACCATCCTATATGCAAGAGGTTAAGGTGGTTAAGAGGCTTCGAGTATTGCTGTAAATTGCTTCTCACGCTGTGTAAAGTTGCCTCAAATATTGATACAGTGAAAGTGTGTGTATATATGTACACACACATACATATAAACTGAGCAATTAGAGGCTCCTGCATCCTACAAAAAAATTGTAATTTGGCACACATCGTGAAATCTATGTTCTCCACAAGATTTCTTAGTAAAAATCCAATGTCCAATCCAATAATATATAACTGTGTCCCAATATCCCAATATCTGAGGTAAAAACAAACAAAAAATCACGATAAAAAAGGAGCACATTAAAGCTCTGTTTAAGGGCACATATGCCACCTACAGGCCAGAAATGGAATTACTGTATCATCTCCAATATAATAAGTATCTATCTAAAAAACCTGGACCATGTCTAAGATAGAGATAACCACACCTTCTACTTTTTGTTACACTGACAGCCAAAGTCATCCCGTTTTGATAATCCTACACTGACTATGGACTTGGTGGGTAGAATGAGTGGACACTACCTAGTACATCAGCCCAAAAAATAGGACTTTCCACAGGGGCCTAACAAATATCAAAGTTTTCATCATATATCCCACAGCCAGAATTGTGAGAGCATCCATATTAGTGTACAGGTGTCTCAATGAAAATAACTGAGCTTTTTATTAGTTCAATGGTACAAGTTTAGAGATTACACTATTTATGAATAATTTGTACAATCACCAAGTGATATTTTGTTGAAAAAAACAAAACCTGCCCTTTAACCTCCTCAAATAAAGCTTTTACAGTTAAACCACAAAACGACTCTCTGGCATATTAAGCTTACAGCAATTACTAGCAGACTGAGACGTTAGAAAGAGACGTTTCTAAAATTAATGTGTCTATAGATAAAATATATGACAAAAAATATATAGATATAACTATATAACTTTCTTTTTTTTTTTTCTTTAAGATCCCTTCCAAAAAATATTTTTTGCAAATTAAACATTTTATTATCACCTTCAAGTGGTTTAGGCAGTTCGCACACACATTAGTATTTAATCATTTTTCGATAAAAATTCCGCATCTTGCCACAAGTAAGTGTCAATGTTCCTTTAGCAAACATTCTGGTCTGCTGACTGCGCATGTTATTCTGAAATATTTTTTTTTTTTCTAATCAAATTGACTGAACTTCTAATCAAAACACCAATAAGACCTAGGTAAATACTTCACGCAGCTTTGGGTAATAACTATCTGCTTCTTTTCAATTACACATGTAAACATGGGTAAAATGCCAGGAAAGCAGAGTTTGTGGTATAAACGTTTAGTGCCAGATGATGTGCCTAAAAACATCTTGCATAATTTCCGATACTATATGACCTTGCCTTCTCGCAAAAAAGGATGTGGTTTCAGTATCAAAAGTTGTTTTTGTTTTTTTTCTGACACACCTTAACAGTTAAATAGGGCTCATAGATTTTCTTTCACAAAGTGTATCAAAATCTGCTCTGTGCAACACATTAAGACCTGCCAAGGGTTATGGGAAATGTTGGGCAAGGAGGATTCACGGTAGCACTAATTAACAGTACTATATAATGGGCTTATTTACTAAACTAGGAGCAATGGGTAAGGGAATTACAACATTTTACACCACAATAAACAGGTTAGAAAGAAACTCAAATTTTAGAATTTTTACAGATCAGTTACTTTGGTTTTGAAATTGCAATTTAGTTTTCAATTCACCGGATTGCTGTTAAGTAAGTAGACTAAAGTGTTTCTAACTGCAGCGGTAGAGGAAGAATGTAGAACCAAGAGAGGCTGATGTTGAGAAAGTAAACATCATAAAGAAGTTGTATGGTGAATGGTGTTTTCCCCAAATTATAAGTGCATTTTTTTTTTTTTATAGAAAGTCAACGATAAAAAACAAAGCAAAATCAAATTATGCAATGTGAGCAAGAAAATGATGCATAAAATGGTAACTTAATTTATGGGATGGTTGATAGTAAGACAAAAAAATAACTACCAGAGCACAGGGGAACATATGGGACAATAAAAAAAAAGTCTATACTAAAAAAAAGAAGAGTGTCATTTGTGATCACAAAGTTTCACACCATCTGAAAGATAGTTATGGTATGGAGGCAGAGAGAATGCAGAGAGCACCTGCTGTAATGACGTCAAACCACATAGATGTAACACATGTTCATATACAGGGCTGAAAACGGTAACTCCTACACTAATTAACAGGTCTGAAAGTCACTCTCTACTACAGTCCAGAGGTGAATTTCTACTCGGCAAGGCTGAATTCTCACTTGCCAATGGCTAGTATTTATTTCACTGTGGGATTTATTTTATTATACTATGGGGGTGTATTTTAATATCATAATAAATCACAAAGCTGAAGGGGGATTGTGATGGAATTTCGGTGAAATGTAAATTTAGTAGGCCAAGATTTCCACGTGGCATATGTGTATGTTGTATCAGTTAGTTACACGTAGCTAAGATACTGTCATCAATGTACTGAGCATGTGCAGGAATGCAGGAACTGAAATCACACTCCTTTCTCCTATGTTTCGGATGAGCCATGTGGTCTGCCCATATGAGGAAATCCAAATCCTGTCCACTGATTGGTTAAGGGTATGTGCAGGTGGAGCTATTAATGGGAGGAGTTATAGTTCTATAAAAAGCTTGTACTCCATGTGTTCACCCCTCAGATCTGTTTTGGAACGTTAGTTCATCTGAGGCCCGATCGGTATGTAAATAAAGAATTCTTACTTCCTGAAAATCTGCATCTATCTCTCTGTGTCTGGCTTCTGCAAGTTTACTCGGTTACAGGATTAAATAATGACCGTCTACAGAACCACTTTATAATTCCATGATACACACATCACGACTATGAATCTTTTAAATGATTTACATGATATCAGAGTTTCTTTAACATCGGGTGTGTCTGAACTTAATGGGAGTTATGATCCCATGGAAGGTGTGCTATTTTTTGTTACTGCCGTGCTTTATTCAGCATGCCTCCCAATAATGGAGGGTATGCAGGTCGGGACGAGTGGGCGGACTATAAGGGGGTGTCACTGTTGATGGCCATAAGTGGTAGGCCTGTCCGGAAAATTAGCCATCCCACCCACTGAAAGGGGTGTACCAGCCTGGCACCAAGCATGCCAGTCTGACTATTAGCCTGTTTGGCTGAATTCCAACTTCATAGCTGCTGAAGCTCTCTCTCGAAAAATCGTGACTGTTCCGCCGGAATCAGGATGGTTGGGAGGTATGTTACATGAAAACAATTACACAAAGAGAACCATTTACATTTGTACAAAGTCTTTGTTAATTGTACATTTTAGAGCAAAGCCTACATTATCTGACTCCTCAAGAGTGAACAGATAGGGTAGTGCGAGTAACTGTAGCAATTTTTTTTCTTCAATGTTGCCTGAAGTTCATAAGAGTTCCAGTCCAACAGATGCGGCAAGGTTGCAGCTGCCCATATGGAGAATCACAACAGATATTTTTTTAGGGGATAGTTAAGGAAAAGCTAAAAATAGTGTATTGGCATAACCTGCTGAATGGGTTCAGGCTCAGTGTGATGTGTGGCTGGCTAATACAAACAAATCATCCTAGAGCGGGCCCTCCCTCTTCACTAAATTACTGTTTCTTTTGCTTAGCTGTGGCAGTAAGGACTAGACAGACAGATGGGACAGTGAGAATTGCTGCAAAGGGGGAAGGGTGAATACTGACTAGGGTGGGGACCCTTCCTTTCTGAGGGGAAATTCAGCTGAGAGAAAAAAATATATATGTATATATATATATATATATATAACCCACAAAAAGCAAACACCAAGCACTGTCTGATTTTCGAGTCCCAGGCTGTGGTTTCCATAAGTAAGAATCATCTGTCAGCAAGCCATTTAGCTATATATCTGACGGATTCTATAAATACTTCTGGCACGTGACTAGCAATCTGTCAGTATTCGGCTAGTTAGAGCATGGAGCGCCATGTTTAAAATAGTGTGCATTGTACCGTTTATCAGCAAAGCCCCAGCATAACGCTGTGGCCCGGCCAGAAATACAGTTTAGATTCGCTGAAATAAAATAAATAAATTCAGGCTCTCCTTAGAGCTTGCCATCGATAAATAAAACACAGCAATTGATTTGTCTTGCTCAAAGTAGATGAAAGCTGAATAACATGAAACTGCTGGTTTCACGCCAATTCTGCTTCCTTGCTGAATACAAGCATATCATTGGATGCCCGCCAGCACCACAGCCACTGGATTCCCTGTCTAGGTTGGCTAAATGAAGCTATATTGGACAACAGCATAGACCCATTTCCATAATAATGGGAATACCAGAAGCTGCAGGACCACACTGATTTACTCAGGAGGGAGGGGGATGCTTATGGCTCTTGATGTTATTTTCCTTCGTCATTTGCAGCCAAATCCCTCATTCCTTCCCTGTGTCCTTTGAAAATGTTTGCATACCTCCCAGCTTTCAAATTAACGCTGTGCATGAGATCTGTAAAGGACCCCTGAGTGAAGGAGCTGAAACCATTAGACAGGCAGGCAGGACACCTGCCCAGGCTTTTAGTGTCTCTGCTGTACTATAGTGATGCAATCAAATGGGTATACGTGCATTCTGCATAGAGACGTGTGTGCATTTCCCCGCATGCACACCACGCATATTGCTCGTGTTTCCCACCTTGTGCTTGAATAATACAAGGCACATAATTGACATTCATGTACGAATGTTTTTGTCATGCAGGGCATCAGGCAGAGCTGTAGCACATGTATGTAGTTAGAGCAATGACACAGGGCAGTATAACATATCATACGTGAGTGAGTGTGTTTGTCAGATTTGACAGCAGGGGGAGCATAGTTAAAGGAATACTCCAAGCACCATAACCACTGCAGCAAGCTGTTGTCATTATGGTGTCAGGAGTGCCGCTTCCTTTTGCTAGCCGTTTGACTTTTTATCTCTGGTTCCCTGTGCACTGCTTCCTGCCTCTCTTCTTCCTGTGATGAGAGCTAGAAGCTCCTGATCATGAGCTGGGCCTTGCAGTGCTGAAGAGCTGGGGTATTGAGAGTAGTAGTTGGTTATACCATTGTGCATTGGTCTATAAGTATGCATGGAGCGAGGGATGACTTTACACCATGCTCTGAGAAAAAGAAAACCCATTATCTCAATGTCAGGGCTGCAACACTATGCCTCGCTTCCAAGCAGACTGTCGAATGCAGGAAAAGGATGTGCTTGAAGGAAAACAAGTATTTGAGCAGAGAGCAGCCTGTCTGCACAGGAGCTGATAATACATTTGAGTGATCTTTTTACAGCGTGTACAAGTCTAGTTGTGTGTATGTGTGTGTATGTGTTTCTGGCACTGTGTGTCTAGCAATGTGTGTGTGTTCATGGCTGTGTATTTGTGTGTGTGTGTGTGTTTCTGGCATTGTGTGTGTTCATGGCTGTGTGTGTGTGTGTGTTTCTGGCATTGTGTGTCTAGCAATGTATGTGTGTTCATGGCTGTGTGTGTGTGTGACACTGTGTGTAACAGTTTATATGTGTGTGTTTGTATGGTATCCTGTGTATGTGTTACTGACATTATGTGTCTTTCTGCCTGGCAGTTTATGTGTGTGTGTGTGTGTGTGTGTGAATGCATTTCTTGCAGTGAGTGTCTACGTATATATATATTTTTCCCTCGAGTGTGTCTGGAATGCATATGGGTGTGTGTCTGGGATCCTCTGTCTGAGTGTCTGTGAGTGTTTGCTAGGGAACGATTCCTTACTGGTGGATTTATACATGTCCCTAAGAATTATGACGACAGCCCTGTTCTTATCTATATAATTTCATTCTGAGTGGAAACAGAACAGGAGTATAACCGTGGCCTATAAATTATTATTTTAATGAATGCACACCATTTTTCACCAATATTGTGTTCCGCTCACTTGTCTCTTATAAAAGGCAATTGTTCAAATTCCTTATCCACCCACCATGCACACACCCGGCTTAATAGCATCATGCCGTCTGATCCACAGCCACAGGCAGGTGTCTGGAACTGCAGATTGTGGGTCTCACACAAGCACAAGACACATTTCCTATCTGACCGCTCACAAAAATCATTTTGACTATGCTATAGCTCAGCTCTATTTCACAGTCCACCAAAGCCACAGCACCACAAACTGTGAAATGCCACATAGAACATAATAGTTTTTATTTTTATTTTTACAAGAAAAACTCCGACAGGCCTTCATTCTATTTTGGAACTGGGGCAACAAACAAACGCACTCTGGCACTGTACGCTCTGTATGTATTCAGATGGAGCGCAGATGACCACTTTCATGGGTAATTGAAAGTAAAGAAGAATGTCTGACTATATTTAATCTATGTGTGTCGATTCAAAGTGCATTAGGATAGATATACAGTGATTTCCAATCGCTACACTTTCAATAGAGACAGGATACTGAGAGTGGGACATAAAATGTGCCTTTAACAATTTCAAAGATAGAAACCTTTAACCTGTTTTAATGCAGAGATGGCAAATTCTCCATGAAAATACAGTAAACAAAAGGGCTTACTATCTCTTTAAACCTCTATAACTTCGTTGTGCACATACATATAGCATTATAACAGCTTCTTGCCATTTCAGGGAGAATTAATGTGCTTTTTTCGGTAGGGTCTTTTTTGGAACCATACACCGCTTCTGAGAATTGTTCCATCCTAAACCATTATAAACACATGCTTCCAGAATTTAGTTTCTGTTTATAGAAAAACTAAGCAGGTGGTGACTTAAATAAAACATGATTCTTTAAAACGAGAAGAACTGGGAGGCTGCTGTGGATTACAAATCATATTAGGCTCAGCCAGTCTTAAGGTTGATTATGCGAACAGTAGCTTGAGTTACTGAGGTTTTCCCACACCAGGTCACTAGCTACCCTGCAGAGATACAGACATTCAAATCAGACATCTGGTTTGCATTAACCTTTTCATGCCCTCTGGCTTTAGGAGTTTCCCAATAATCCATTGTTGACAAGCTGAGCTTACTGTATTCATCAATCAGGGACAAATAAGGATCAATAAAGGCGGAAATAGTTTTATTTTTTGCTTACGTTGTCAAATTAAGACCAGACATAATCAAGGGAAAGTAGAAGCTCCCTCTAAACTTTCCCTCCCCCTCCTTTTCCCGTAAAGGGATAGAAACATAGAATGTGACGGCAGATAAAAACCATTCGGCCCATCTAGTCTGCCCAATTTTCTAAATATTTTCATTAGTCCCTAGCCTTATCATATAGTTAGGATAGCCTTATGCCTATCCCACACATGCTTAAACTCCTTTACTGTGTTAACCTCTACCACTTCAGCTGGAAGGCTATTCCATGCATCCACTACCCTCTCAGTAAAGTCCAAATATCAGCCACACTTTATCTTATTGAAGTTAATTTGGGGCATAGATGCTGTCAGTGCAGCCTTGCTGTTAAACAGTGCACTGGAGGATAAGGTGTAAAACAGATTCAATAACTCAATCTCGTCAAGTTCTGTCAACATGCAAAGTATACTGATATCGGACACTGGATGTACGTCCAGTGCTTCTCTATGTAAACTATTGGATTCTATGCATCTCATAGAGAATCACTGGATTGGCTGAATGGGGCGATTGCAGCGCATGTGACGTTTATCATTATCTACCATGCTCCTCTATGGGAAGCATTTGATTGGACAAGTTTGATGACTTCACAGAACAAGGATCGAGCCGCAGTTAGGAGTCTGGCTCAGAGCTGGGATAAACGTAAATTGAATTACATTTTATTTATTTTTTGTAATAAAAAGGGAGCCTAGTAATCTGACCTAGTAATGGAACACATCTAACTATGAAAAATATATATTTAATTAAAGTGTTTGTTTAAAGTATTTGGCTTAAGGGTCTATGAATTATGAATATTTAGAGGAAAACTGAGTAATATTGCTTGTGTGAAACTGGAAGAATTTTCAGAGTTAAAACTCAAGCTGGTAGCAGAAGATATAATCCTGAGCTTGGGACAAACAGCCCATACATAAAGAAAATGAAAGGCTGGTTGCAGCATTTCTAATAGATGCCACATGCACAGGTATCAGATGGCCGCTAAACTACAAGAACCAAAGGATCTTTTTTCAAATACACATCATATTTATGTGTGGGTTCTTTTATAGCACTACAGATAACAGCTGGCTTACTAATTAGAAAAGCGAACGATTCACAAAGCCTGCACAAAATAATGCATATTCATGTCTTTCAGAATCATTTTTTTTTTTTTTTAAAGAAAAATACAGTACTCTTATATGTAATTCTGTGTACAACATTTAAGCCAAAAAGGGGAAAACTTTCAAAACGATTTGACCTTGAAATTCTTCAAAATGTTAACCCTCAAATAGCAACTTTCAAAGATTCATAGACTGATTCACAAATTGAAGGATGGTTAGCATATGGTTCCATTATCAGCCCCCATGGAAACCCTAAAATGTCAGAACTGAGTAATATTTTTATTCAAACACCTGTGTTCAAGAATGAATTCCAGTTATATTGTGCTGGGGAGAAAAGCACCATTTGGTTGGCTCCAGTATTATCAAATTAGGATGGAATATTGTCCCCTGTGACTAAAATGCTTATGATGTCTGACAACGTTTGAGATATGATATCATTTTCTAATACACGCAATGCCAAACATAAAATGCATCGAGCAACTACACTTGGATCCCACCTAGTATACATTGCATAATTTATTCAGTTGTGGTTGTTCAATTCTGCTTTTTTTGGTCATTTTTATTATCTGACTGCGTATATATTACTAATGTCTCGTTTCCACTGAGCGGAACGGTTCGGGTCCATACAGTTTGGAAGGTTTAGAATGGTCCAGCCTATTCAGGTGAGTGTTTTCCGGTCTGCAAGTGGGACCGCCAGGGGCCATGCGGGGTTTAGAAAAAATGTATAGCGTGTAATTTGTCGTGAGCATTGACGTTTTCCTGTTCGCCAATCAATGGATTGTATAGTGTGATGCTAGTAGCTCCGCCCTAACCATACCGTACCATTTCCTATGGCCCTACATCTGAAGGAGGACCATGAATGGTGCGGTACGGTTCGGTTGTATGGGCCACTTTAATAATGGAAACACTCAAAATAGCGTACCGAACCGAACTGCTCTGTGAAAGAGGCATAACTGTACACATGCTATATTGTATTCTATGCAGTCTGTAAGTGTAATATCATTCAAAGCTTAGCTATACAGTACTTTCCCTGTTCAGAAGTGGGTGTTTTAACAATATGTTAGCCAAGTTAAAGAAGGATGCTTTCCTTTTAGTGGTGTCATTGGGGAGGTATTCAGGAGTGAGGCTATTCTCGCACATGGTAGGTGACTTCATGACAATAACATTTAGGATATTGCATACTCTGAGCCATCAGTATAACTACCTTTTGATGGATGTGTCAGGGTCAGTCATGACATCATGTGGTCCTGAATGATTTAAACAACTCTTCTTCAAACCCTAGCATTCGGCTTGCTGTTTCCCTGCACTGCAGTCAGTGTAAAAGGATTTTAAAAAAACATTTTATGTGACTGACTTACATTTTTGCCAATAAGCTCATGGTGTCACCAGGAGATGGTAACCTGACAGAGATAAAAGATGACTATATAAGCAAGGTTGCACACTACATCAGGAATGGTTAGGAATTCACCTAAAGAATTCCAAAAAGTGTAGGCCTAATTAGCGACCTGTGAAAGAGCCGAGTTGAAGGAATTTTGCAGTTTGGCTACTTTGGTGTGAAATATGTTTTAATTTCCAACAATTCTCAATTTAGTCAACAACCCTGAAAGATTGTTAGCTCACATGAGGAGGACCTTCTTAACCTCTTGTGTCTGTCAACAATATGTATCTCTGTCAATTACGTATTGTTAAAAAAAAAAAAGTCCTCTGTATAACTAAAGCACTGCTGAAATTATTTTTAAAAAAAATAAAAAATAATAATTGCAATTTTTGTATTCACATGTATAATGTCTGTATAGGGTTTTGCTATTTTATAATATTTATAACACTATTGACACATAGGCAGAGCCTAAATCAAGGGTCATTTTAGGAACAATATGCGTTGAACGAACCTATTAATTTATCTTGTCAGTATTTTTACTTGTAAGCTCCTTACAAGACTGTCATACCAGAATACATCCAAAAGGGGGGTCAGTCCAAAAAACACAAAAATATTAATTCACAGTTAGACATTTCAACAAGCTTATTTGCTTAGTCAAACGCTTTCAAACAAAACCTGCTAAGGACATCCTAAGGCTTAAAGATATTTTTCACTGAGTCATATGTGCAGGCCCGGACTGGCCATCGGGCATACCGGGCAAATGCCCGGTGGGCCGCGATGGCCGTGGGGCCGAGGCCGGCAGGGAGATCACAGGATCTCCCCTGCCAGCCCGTGCAGGGCCAGCGCTATCCGAGCGCCGGCCCCGCTGTGTGTCTCCACGGGCCGGTGGGGAGATCAGAGATCTCCCTCACCGGCCCACAAGAATGGAGATGCGGCCGCCGGCTGGGTGAGGGAGGGAGGGAGGACCCGGCGGAGCTCTAACAAGCAGCTCCGCCGGGTCCTCTCGCGGGATTCTGAGCGTTGCCGCGGCAACGCTCAGCTCTCGCGAGAGTGAACTCTAACCCGCAGGTTAGAGTTCACTCTCACCACTGGACCACCAGGGAAGCATGCGAGAACGGATCTCCTCCCCCCCTCCCAGGATAAAGGTAAAAAGGGAGGGGAGGGGGAAACACATAACTTTTTTTAATTTTTTATATTAATAAATAAAAAAAAATTATTTAAAATAAATTCCCTAATAGCCCCCTCACACACACAGCACACCCCAGACACACACAGCACACCCCAGACACACACAGCACCCCCCAGACACACACACAGCACCCCCCTTACACACACAGCACACCCCAGACACCCACACAGCACCCCCGAGACACCCACAGCACCCCCCAGACACAAACAGCACCCCAGACACCCACAGCACCCCCAGACACACACACAGCACCCCTTACACACACAGCACACCCCAGACACCCACACACCCCCCCGAGACACCCACAGCACCCCAGACACCCACACAGCACCCCGAGACACCCACAGCACCCCCAGACACACACACAGCACACCCCAGACACCCACACAGCACCCCCAGACACCCACAGCACCCCAGACACACACACACAAACAGCACCCCCCAGACACACACACACACCACCCCCAGACACACACACACCCCAGACACACACAGCACACCCCCCCAGACACACACAGCACCCCCCAACACACACAGCATCCCCAGACACACACAGCACACCCCAGACACCCACAGCACCCCCAGAAACCCAGCACCCCCAGACACAGCACCCCCAGACCCACAGCACCCCCAGACACACACACCCCTGACACACACAGCACCCTCAGGCGCAGACAGCACCCTCAGACGACAGCACCCTCACAACCACACACACACACATATATATATATATATATATATATATATAAAATAACCCTCAGTGAGTTAACAGACAAAGAAAATTAGAAACCTAGAATGTGACGGCAGATAAAAACACCCTCACACACAGCACCCCTCTTACACAAACACACTGCGCACCTCACACATTCAATACGTCCAAATATATTCTAAATATATATACACACACTCACTACTGCACCCCACCCACTGCACCACTACACATATTACACTCCAGATACACGCTAGATCCCTTACCCTATATGCACTCTTAATCCTCTACACATACACACACACACAATCTTCTATACACACTCTGGGTCCTTTACACACACGCTGCACCACCTACACACACACTACATTCCTTGTAAGCAAACACATACAACATTCTCTAAACACACCCTCTCTACAACCCCTACACACGCTACGTCACCTATACACACACACTACTGCCCGTATGTACACACTCGCTACATCCCCTATAACACTATGCCCCTATACACGCACTCTCTACAACCCCTAGCCACATATTACACCACAAAATTGACCTATTTACACAATACCACACCACACTCTACACACACGCAATCCCACAAGCATGCGCCAAACACATGCACCATACACGTTCCTGGCCCTTTTGTCCTCTGGTATCCCACTTGTGGAGACACCAGAGACAATTTAAAAGCTAACACAGCGCAAGCATGTTATTACATTTGCTTGCGCTGCGCAGAACAAATTCAGGGCCTTTTTCTAATGCTAGAGCTCTTCAGCGGGGCTCTGCGCATTGAACCAACATTCTCACTTTGAGAGGGGGCGTGTTGTCATTAGTGATGACAAAACACACCCTCTCTGGCCCCGCCCCCTTCTTGGGGGGCCGCTCTAATTGAAAAATGCCCGGGCCTAATTTTTTTCCCAGTCCGGCCCTGCATATGTGATTAAGGCTCTGGAAAAGCTTGTATGAACCTTGATCCGGTGTCATTAGGAGTTTTGTTTGCTGAATTTAAAAACTTCAGAAAGAAAACGGCTGAGCTGGAAAAATAAAAAACAAAACAAACTTGAAAACCTTTAAAAAAAAAAAAACACTTGCTTTCTGTTTACTGAAGTTTTTTAGTGTATTTACATGAAGTGAGATACAGGAGAACGCAGCAGCTTCGGCTACGTATAAAATTTGTAGTTTGAAATATCTTCTAAATAATTTAAAGTTCTAATTATATCACTTTCCAAGGGGATGGAAAAATATCTATGCTTGAGATAGTTTCTGTTTCGGCAATTATCCAGCCTTAAATTTTTATCATTTTGACTATTATGACCATAAACGCATTATTTTTTGATTGACATTACTCAACTCCTGTTGAGACTGAAACGTTGATTGTGATGATCTGTTTTTGAAATAATAAAGCACTGAAGGAAAGTTTGATTTAAAAATTCCAGAGAGCGCTTTTCCTTGTTTGCTATAATATTTATTTATATATATAATTATTATAATCATTATATTTACAATATTTATTTATTCTCTGATGTTTTACGTTTTATATTCTTTATTTCTTATATTCTTGATGCACTTCGCACAAGTTTGCTCCTTAAACTCTCGGGGCAAGGGGCTAAGAGGTTGTATGGTATCATGATTGTCCAGGCATCGTCTGTCAAAAAGGAGTTAAATAAAATCCCAGAACTTAATTTATTAAATTGTTTTCTGGCACACAGCAAGTTGATCAAATTAGGCCAAAATACTTAAGTTCCAGGAGTGATTTAGTGAATAAGCCAGTGGTGTTTAGTGAATAAGCCCCCATTCAATTTCCCCCCACTGCAGCCTCCCTTTAAGATCAAGAATTACAATTTCACTGAAAGCCATTTTCTCTTGTTCTCCTTACACATCCTTTGTCACGTGGACTCTTCCTTTGTTAGAAGTCAGGAGTGCGACAAAGCCTAGTTATAAGAAAGAATGAAAAAAAAAATTTTTTTTTCAATCGAAACACATTTTCCTTTTGGCATATTGATAATATTTTTTTTAAACAAAAAATAAGTCTCTTAACCTCAGCAAACCATGACAGCTGCAATTTAGGAGGGCAAGGGTAAAGACTGCAGAACAAGCCCAGACTATAGCACTAAGTGACTACACCTTGTTTTGTCTGTGTTTTAAGAAGAGTTGTTGTCTTTGATTAACCCCTGGCAGGCCAGAGGGATGCATGCAGTGCATTCCAAGGTGCTGGCAAATTGTCTTTAAAATGTTGACTGCCAGAGGGGAGCCAAACATAGCAGAGGGGTTAAAACCAGAGACTGCGAGACTGCCACATCTACACATATGGCTAAGTGCTAAAAAGACAAGTAAAAAAGGAAGTGGTTACAATTAAACAGACAGGAACTTATAAACTTTAAAAGTGCTTATATGAATTTCAATATTTCATAGCACTGAAAAGTAAAACAACTATTTCTTGGATGAACTGATCAGCTAATGTCTGGACATATACACTTTCCAGGCATATGTAGGAATTTATGTGTTGTTAAAGGGCCAATATCTGCCTGTTGAAGCATGTGATGAATTTACTCTAGGAGAAAAGGCAACATTTAAAGCCATACAGTAAGAGAACCTGCATAAAAAGAATTCTGACTACAACCACATTGATTGACAAGTTAGGTCGGTGTCTTGCTCAGATCAGCCAGGTTGTGTTTCCTGAAAATTCAACAAGTTCAATGGTCTTAAATGTATTAACATAATGCTGCGCATGATCATTAGGTGCCCACGCTGGACGTTGGAGGAGGCTGAGCCAGCGCTGAGGTGAGTGGAAGAAAGGGTTAATCAACCCTTTTAGTAATACGGGGCACACAAAGGAGGGGGAGTTAGAGGAACACTTTAGTGTTAGGAATACAGCTTTGTATAGTGTTCCTTCAAACAATAAAGCCAGCAGCCAGTAGGCACATTGTAAAAAATAAAACGTAAAACTGCAATGGGGTCACTTGGATCCCCTCTTTACTTGGAGGCTTATTTCCAAAAGCACATTAAACAGGGCAAGTTTTAAAAGGCGCCTTCTAGGGAAAAGAAAAGGTAAATTGTGACATAATGGCATTTTACAGTAAAAAATTATATAATTTTACATTTTGAGGACAAGTTAATAATGTCACAAAGGGGATGGCAGGCCTGCCAAGCTAAAAGTCATGTTTTCTTTTCAACAGCCAAGGGTCAACACTTGCTAGCAATTTTCTTAGCAATTTGGCAGGCATAATGTATTCGTTGTTTTATTCCCTACAAAAAAAGTATGCCATTCACCGTTTGCTTGACAGATTAACTTTAATGATGCAAATCAAGGACACAATCAGTTGAAAAAGCCACGTTTTCCTTTCAGCAATTTGGTGTCATCATTTTTCCATCGGGAAGCTTTATTTAATAACTCCTAAGTTAAGTAATGTAAGCTCTACCATAAATATAATTTTCTACCGAACCTTTTTCTCCCTCTTTTTTTTTCTCCATACATATTGCACAGTGTCCATATGAATTCAGATCGTACGTTTTTGAAATTAATAAAACATTAGACATCTGGGGGTCGAATCTGGCATCCATTCCCGTGTCATGTGTGTATTGATGAATCTTAGCCAATAGAATAATCCTTTAAAATGTAACGATGAAAAACAACATTAATTCACAACACATGCTTGCATGCATCTGCTACAATGCACCTCATTATCTCGATGCATGCGATTTTACATGTATCTATGAAGTCAGACAGTAAAAATATATTGTGATTTGTTCGTTTTGGCTATTTGACACTGACATCTGTGATGAAATTGAGGTTTTCCTTCCCAAAATCCACCCTTTGAGCTTAGCAGGTGTAAAGTGCCAACTTCCAGCCTGTTCAGCTGTTTAAATAAAACATTATAATTTTGGAACAGGATGGAAAAATGAGTTCACGTAAGGTAAACCCCGGCTGCAACTCAGATTTCCACAGAATATTGCCTTTGGCTCATAACAAGAATATTGGGGTCTTTACGTTAAGTTAAATGTTGTTACAGACTGCAATGCCAAATTACTTTAGCTTCTATCAATGGGATCTCTGTATAAAATTTAAGTGACTACAGAAAAGAAAACTGATTTATATATATATATATATATATATATATAAAATGCATTTTGGCCTGTGTAGTCTAAGATCCTTGCACCAGCCCTGATAGATATCTATCTATCAAGACTGGTGCAAGGATCTTAGACTACACAGGCCAAAATGCATTTTGCCGCCCCCCTATGCAAACTACACACATACGTACTGATAGACATGCATTCCTGTGTCCCCTGCTACCTGAGGGTCCTGCAAGAAAACTCTGGTTAGTGCATCTAAGCTATGCCTGTCCGGCAGTGCATTGCCTAACAACGCTCACCTAAAGCTCTTAACCAATGAACAAGGCTCTACATGGTGGCGTTTAGCACAGTGGCAGGAGTTTCTGGCAGCCTCCTGGCAATTACACCAGTTCTTAACAAGTATAGGTCCTGACATTGGCCATAATTTCACCCCTTCCCTTTCTAAAATTAGTATCCCTTTTTCCAGGAAATGTGGCTGTATCTCCCCAATTCCCATCATGACATATCTTCCACAAGTAATTAATGCAATTAAAGGACCACTATAGTGCCAGGAAAACAAACTTGCTTTCCTGGCTCTATAGGGTCTTTGGGACCCCCCCACCCTCTGGTTCCCCTCCCACCGGGCTGAAGGGGGAGGAAGGGGGTTAAACACTTACCTTTCTCCAGCGCCGGGCTCCCTCGGCGCTGGGGACTCTCCTCCCTCTTCCGACGTCATCCGCTGAATGCGCATGCGCGGCAAGAGCCGCTCTCGCATTCAGTCAGTGAAAATCACAGTGAGAAGCGCGGAAGCGCCTCTAGCGGCTGTCAATGAGACAGCCACTAGAGGCTGGATTAACCCATATCTAAACATAGTAGTTTCTCTGACAGCAGGCAGGGTTAAGCTGTGGTCTGGGTGCCTATAGTGGTCCTTTAACCCCTTCCAAGCTCACTATCTGCACCCGCTTAAAAGCTTTTCCTGCCCCTCCTTATAGAGAGTCACACAGAACACACTCACAGATAGGAACACTCACACATACACTCCTACAGACAGACATACTTACAGATACACTCACAGATACACTCCTATAGACACACTCACAGATGCACTCCTATAGACACACTCACAGATACACTCACAGATACACTCCAATAGACACAATCATAGATATACACACAGATGCATGAAATCATACTCCGATACAGACTTACAATCAGGCATGCAGACACACACTCACAGTTACACATTGACACACAGACAACAACACTCACATTCACAAACCCAGATATACACAGTATCAGAGAGGTGACCCACCTCTCAGTAGCTCCCCAGCACACGGTGTACACCAATTTAATCTAACTCCTGAGTACTACTAATTCTCCTTCCTGGCAGCACTATACCAGGCATCCCTCACTTCCTGTATATCTAGAACTATGTGTGCTGTGGCTATTCCTACCTATGGGGAGCTGCAGCCTTCAGAGTAGGAGCTTCTGTTCCTCTCCCTTGCGGTCCGGAGGTACAGGAGGTACAGTGTGAGGGCTGATTGAGGGTCAGGGGGCAGGGCTTTGCAGACGAACGGCAGCCAATTAACTGCTTCAGGGCAGTACAAACCCCCAGGGAAGTCCTGCAGCAGAGTGTTGGGCTGCAGCAGAGTGTCACAGCACCAGCACGGCTGTCTGGAACCGCAAGTATAGGGCTTCTATGGGCAGGTGGACAGCAGCTGCTGTTTTGTTCTGACAGAAATATTTTAAAAAGCCAAGTCTCTGGCCAGGAGTCAGGGATTTGGATTTTTGCGCCCCCCTCCCTGCTGTTGCGGCCGCCTTATGGACGCGCTGGCCCTGATATATATATATATATACACACACTAATATTTTAAAAAGACTGTCGCCCTGATCAGGTTGATGCACAAACTTCCAATATATACATTTTTAGAGCACAAAAAAATATGGTGACACCACATAAAAAAAAAAAAAAAATACAAAGTCATATAACTTCACAGTTTTTGGTATCTGCACCATAGCTCCCAAGTGTGCCTATTTAGGAGGGACAATCCATACTTTGTGCCTGAATCCCTCTGTCCCTCTTTTCTATCCTAATTTACCTCTGTTCTAGAAGCGCTCCATATTGTTGATGTGTCTGAGTACTAAAGCAATAATACTCACAGTAATGTGTCTTTACACTACAATAAACGTGTTTAGAAATGAGCCAATGTATATGATTCATTCTTATTGAAAAATTATATTTAAGTTGCATTTTTGTTTTATTATTAAGACAGTGTCTTAGAACATTTTTGTATGCACTGTGACTATTTTTTGCTCATAATTAACATTCATTTATTAAGTTCTGCCTTTGTCTGTTAAAAAATGACGTTACCTGAAGAGACTAATCAGTATTTTGCAATTACATATATAATGTGCTAAGTAATATTTGGTGGGTTTTTATTATTGATGTACCTGGGGGACCAAGGCAACCCATTTGAAAATTGTCTTGGTGGTGGCAATTTTAAAATAGTAATAGTTATACTATTATGTTTAAATGTGGGTGGTGTTAAGGAGGATTTTAAGATTATTTCCAGTCTAGTGTAGGCAAATAGTGAACTTTAACCCTTTTCACCACCACAACTACGTCACGCACAGTCTTGGAATAGTGTGCGTTTGTGACTATGCTCCTCGTACGTGTGTACCGAACAGATTCTGTGGTGTCCCCTTGTTCGTAAATCATGTTTAGGCTTGATTTGAAGATTGTTCTATTCTAAATATGATAAAAATGAGGCTTGAGTATTAATCTCTGGATAGATATTAATGTCTCTTTTGGATATGATATTGGAACACAAGGCTTGTTCCTATCAAAGGACTCCTTATCTAAGAGGATAGCAAGACATATGGCAAATGAGAGAGTTAGTTTATACTGAAACCAGACTTCCAGGCCACTTATGTGTGACTTCTCACACCTTACAGAGTAGCTCTGACCTCCCATACAATCAAATGAACCCCTTTTGAAATTGCCTGCCTCTACCAGGCAGCCAGGTCATATATGCACTAACATAACTTGAGTTATAACAAAAATATCTGAGCACTTTTTGGAAATGTTGTGTGCGCAGATCTGGGCTATTCAGGAATATCATTTTGTGGGGTTCCGATGTTGTTGCCATGTATTTTTGTGATATTTAAAAATTGTATGTAGGTTTTCCTATTTGAGAGATAATTGGATTAGCTTAATTGGAGCACAATTATCTATCAAACACAATGGCTTGTGGGAAGGAAACCCCTGTGATTTTGTATTAGAAACCCCATGCTAGGGGCACTGCACAAAAAGCAGAGTGTAGCCTAATAAAGTCAGATTGCTGCTTTTATCCAATACGACTGGTTGCGTCCATTATATTGGGGAAACTCTACACTAAGGGAATACTTTCACTATATTCAGCACATCTGGAATTAGGACTAGTGGAGGATTAAAGGAATAACAGCAACAGACTCCCGAACCTGTGACATATGCATACACACATATATAAATTTAACACATAACAAGTAATAAATATATTCAACTATGACAGGTACATTCTGTGCTGAGGTATCCCTGTTCAACCAAATGCCTTTCTGCATTAGTTGAGCACCAGAGGACATGCAGCATAAAGGTTGTCTGGAGATACTACATCTGTATAAACCGTTTCAAAAACAGTTTAACACTATAAGGTAAGGCTGTGCGAGCGGATTCCAGGGACCATCACCACTTTTTTGGGGGTAAAGTGGCTATGAGATGGTTATGGGGTCTGAAGTATAATTTAAAGTAGATAAAAAAAATAATGGATATATACACATGACATTTTTATTTTTGTTTCCCAATTTCATTTTTGTATAGATTTATTTTATATTTAGTAATATTAAATATATTATAACAATGTTCAAAAGTGGGACAACATGCAAGACCAAAGATCAGCACTATCGCACTTAATGCAGTTTGCCTGTGACAAATAACAATTCCAGTTATTCTTGAGCTATGTTTCAGTGCATACAAATACAAGAATAAACAGTTGAGACACGATAATATGAAAATATATTTATGAAAAGCTGTTGTTGACTGCATTGGAATTTCTCAAAAACTCAAATTCAAAAGGCAATCAAAAGATCTACATGAGACAAAGACTACAAAAATGACAGTCCCTCTTTAATGTGCAAAATAGTATAGTATTCTTATACATAGGGGTTTAGATAGCACTATGGTTAGAGACCAACATTATAGACCAATTGCATACATTTTGGATTACCAATGTTTTAGTTTATTTTTGTTTGTTTAAAGAAAATAAAACAAACAAAAACAAAAATTGTGGGCTTCTGGGGGGGTGGGGGAGGGGGGATTATAAAACTGATATGTGTGGCAAGAAATGGTATTCTAACCTGTTTGATCACAGCTCACATTGCATTAAAAAGTTTTCTCACAGTGTTTTGAAATCAATCACTACATAAAATGTTATATATATATTGGACTCATAATCTGGTTTCCCACAAAGTAAATATGGCATTTATGGAGTATTCTCTATTATATCTATATGGGATATAAAGGCCGTAATACAGAGTTAAAAATGTAATCTGAGGGTAAAAGTCTGTTTAAGAGCAGAAATTGGATTATTCTTGACAAATTGGTATGAAGTTTTCAGTGGGTTCTAGATCTTGCATAGCAAGATGGAAAGTCTAGGCCAAGGTATGAGGAACACCATCTTTAAGACAATGTCCGATTACGCAGATAGCATTGTTATTCCCTAACGCTGGCTGATGGTAACGGGTCAGGAATAAGTTTGCAACTTCCATTAACACCTGTGACAGCCCTGAAACAGGTAATTTGTTTTTTTCCTATGGGATGATGAAGGTAGGGCGAGAAGATTTGACTGTGTATCAGTTACCTTTGGAAACCTAAAGATTTAACACTCCCTAATTACAGCCTATTTACGAGGACTGAATGAACACTCTCAAAAAACACTCCCCTCAAGATGGCACACTAACGTGCTTTGCAGCTAAAGACATACACTTAAGGCGGCAAGAGATCTTTAGACAAAGACAAAAAAAACAGATTATTTGTCTAACATGTTTTTGGCCGGTTATTCAGAGCTTCTAAAAACAACACCTGAAATGCAAGTCATGTTTCCCCTATATACTAGGTCCCTTCTCGCTACATATGTATCCCTTTATGTCCATCCCCCCTCCCTGGGCAGCAGTCATGTCTTTCCCTTCCTTATTCAGTCCAGGGAAACCTAGAGATAAAGTAGAATATAGCTCAAAGCCATTGCCAATTTGACATATTTGTCTGTAGTATATTGTGTGTGTATGTTATAAAACATTATCCATAAAACTGTCTAAACAGTAACATTTAAGGAGTCTGTACAGCTACATACATTTTTACGGACACCGCCACTGCATAAAATATCATGAAGCACTTTATTTTTTTTTTGTAAATATAAGTTTATTTGTATAGATTTGCTGTAGCATATACAATCAAACATGCAATGGTGGGTCGGGAGACACGCAGGTCTCACTTACAGTGACAAATAGTTAAGTATTTAACATTTACCCAGTGTTCCTAGATTCTTATAGGCTTTATTATCCTCATGTGTCTATAGGTTCCCTATCTCCTTCTTTCCCTTTCCCTTCCTCTCTCCTTTCCTTCCCCCCTTCCCCTCCATCCTGTAGTTCCCCTCTTCTCATCCTTCTCCTCCTGTATCCTGTCCTTCTCTTTCCCTCTCCCCTCTCTCCCTCCCTCCCCCATCTCCTCCTCCTCCACCTTTTCCCGGTTCCCCTTTGTGTTTGCATTCTCTGGAATCATGGGGCGCTCCTTCAACTATAGAGGTTAGGTTTATTTCCTTCCGCTATGGGGATCCCTACCTCATGGTCCGTTACGTTCTATCCGGGCATTGATACAATCTCTGGACATTGGTAGCCCCCTATTTTCTGGGCTTCTATCTGGGTCGGATTCCGGCCGGGTGTCCGGTGTTGATGGTTATATTAGTGTCCTATGTATCTTTATCTTTATCTCTCGTTTTTTATTCGTGAGCGTTGTGCGTTATACTGTGGTGCGTTTGTGCATCTCTATTGATCTGTACATTGTGTTGGGCTTGTCTAACGGTCTTGGGTCTCCCTTCCCTTGGTCACTACTTCAGCTAATGAAGCACTTTACAAGTGTGTATAAATTACAATAAATGGTAGCATTCATAGGACCTCCAATCCCTGTTTTAACGTGTTGAAAATCAGTACATGACACCCAAAGCTAACATCAAAGGTTCAACCCTACAGGGACACCATCAAGCATACTAATATATCGATCTATATAAGATGATCTGCCTGTAATTTCAACAAGGACATTTTTTAGAATGCATTTGATGTGGAATCAATCAATCAATTGATTATCTTGCATATCTGCCCCCCGGCCAAATTTAAAAAAGATGCGTGCATGCTCCTGAAGTAATTCACACCAGACACAGGTTTCGGGTTAATAAAAAACTTGAGGAATGTTTATTCTGGGGGGACGGCATGCCTCTTATAAAGCAAAATTACATCATATGCATTGTCAGAGATAACATGAAATAATACATCAATAATTGGTTAGGTGTTAAGTGGTTCATTTAGTGCTCTTCCTACCGGGTGTGATGTCACTGGTATCTTGGAGGTCTCCCCCAGATTCCAGCGCCATCTTGTTAATGAGGGTGTTAGTCGATGTCAAAGGGAAACTCCCTAGCGGCCATTTTAGGTAAATCACATATAAGGTTGAATAATGCTGATTGTGGTTATGCTGAGTAATTAGGCATTTTATTAATATGAATTGGGTTAATATTTTTGTCCACAACAGCAATAATGTAGGGATGGTGATATAATCCCCATATCCCCTTATTTCCTATAACGAATGAGTAATAATAGATAGGCCCCTCAAAGGAACATTTTAGTGTTAGGAGTACATCTTTGTATTCCTAACACAAAAGTGTCCCTCTTACTCCACCCCCAGCCCCCCTAGTCCCTTCTCTCCCTCTTCCGTGTTAAAAAAACATTTTAGTCACTTACCATACTCCAGTGCTGACGTCCCTCTGCCCTACGTCGTGTTTTACCTACACCTATGTCAGCCAATTGGGGGTCCTAACGCGCATGCACAGCGTGCATCAGGTCTTTCCTATAGGATTAGCATTGAATCAATGTTTTCCTATGGGGTTTTGCAAGACGCTGGACGCCTTAATGCAAAGATTAAGGACATCCAGTGTTGTTTAATGGAGTCAAACGCTGTTCAAAAGGAGGAAGCGCGTCTAGTGGCTATCTGGTAGACAGCCACTAGAGGAAGTCTTAAACCTACAATGTTTTACACTGCAGTGCTAAGGGGACAGTGACACTGCAACCAGACCACTTCAATGAGATGAAGCGGTCTGGTTCCTATAGTGTCCCTTTAATTTAAGTCGTATCCAACATACATGTATCCAGTCTACTTGAGATTAGTGGGAGTTATACTTCCAAGCAGCACATTGCTGGAAAAACTCCCATAAATCTCAGACATATATGGCCCAGTATTGATATAAAGGTAAACAATTCTCCTATATTACCCTAACACTACCCCAAGCAATGACACAAACACTAAACCTAAGACTAAATAAAAGATATCTTCAGTCTCTTGGTATATTATACATTTGTCCAGAATGCCGCGATCACAATTTTCTATCGTATACAATTCAAAATGATGTGTTTCCAGATAGATATTTTTCCGTTAGCTAAGCAAACAAGTAAAGAGAGTCTGCTAATTGTTTTTTTTCTTCTAGGCAGTACAAATGTCCAATATCCCCGGGTGAATGTTCTAGCGTTATCCATTGAATAAATACGCAGTGCCTTCACATTCTCAGACTCTGGGATACACGTGCTCTTCTGGAACATAGAGGGTGCTTTGTTGAAGAGCTATGTCAATTCTCATTGTGCATTCTTTTTTTATGTGAGGGGCTGTTAACAAAGGTAGCTGCTTTCAGTATTTGTGCTCATGCATGGATCTACCAGGCAGATTCGTTCACGAACACTTGCACAGGCAGCAAATGGGAAGCATCAATCAGTGCTCCTGATTCTTGCCGTTCATTCAGATGCAAGCTCCACTTTCAACTGTCAAAAGATGGGCACTTATATTAGTGAGGAATGATGATGTTCTGCCTGCTTTAATGAAAATGGAATATAAAATAGGATAGACAAATAAATAAGAATTTTGGATGTTAGATCGAGAATATAAAAAGATTTTCAAAAAATTTAATATTTGTCCTTTGGGGGTATTCACCATGGCCTTCCAAGAACCAATTTGGTCTGTGACTTCTGGCGACCATGGACCCTAGTGACTACAATGTTAACCATGCTGTAATTTCTCCCAAGTAGTAAAGTCTAGAACATATGCCAAAAACCTGTTTTTTCAGATCGGAATGTTGAGTTGGGTCAAATTGTAAAGGGACAGCTGAATTGCAAAACTCAAGTTAAAATAACCAAGCCACGTCTATGCCTAATATTTACGGCTCAAGTATTTTGACCTATACTTCGAAAACAGTTTGATTTTTGATTCACTGCTATTAAGTTCTCATGCTTAATCTAGATGATCAACAAATTGGACATTGTACAGTGCCAAATTTTTACCAATTCTAAAATCAAAAAATACACATAAAACTATTTTTTTCCCCCACTTCTTGTGAACTTTCATCATAAAATAACAACACACCACTAGAAGTCATTTGATAACATGTTTGATTTTTAACCATAATTATACAAAGAGATCTAAAACCATTTTATGGCTGGTAATAGTACAAAAGTCAGAAAATATTATTCACTTAAAACTAGGACTTATTCATGATTTATTTCATAATCTTGCAGTGATGACCTCAACAGGCCACTATTACAAGTTAACAATAACAAAATATATAAAATAGTGCATTTGTCGACTTCACAATTATATTACAGGCTGAAGGTTATAGACAGAGATTACAGATTAGCACTGATGAAGTCATCGAGTGTCAGGAGTGCCTTTAGCCTAACATTTTCCTTATGGACATTACAATGTGTGTTTCTAGAATGTATCTCTAAATTGACATTTCAGGTATTGTACATACATGTATTTGTTGTGTATCGATCTTACCAAGTTATACTATAAGTACAGTGGTTGTCATGTATTTGTCCTTTAATTGGTTTCACTTATTAAAGGACCACTATAGGCACCCAGCTTAATGAAGTGGTCTGGGTGCCAGGTCCAGCTAGGTTTAACCCTTTTTTTTTTTTATAAACATAGCTGTTTCAGAGAAACTGCTATGTTTATGCTAGGGTTAATCCAGCCTCTAGCAGCTGTCTCTTGACAGCTGCTAGAGGCGCTTGCGTGCTTCTCACTGTGATTTTCACAGTGAGAAGACGCCAGCGTCCATAGGAAAGCATTGTGAATACTTTCCTATGGACTGGCTGAATGCGAGCGCGGCTCTTGCCGTGCATGCGCATTCAGCCGGTGACAGAAGAAGAGGGAGGAGAGGAGGAGGACAGCTCCCCGCCCGGCGCAGGAGAAAGAGGTAAGTTTAACCCCTTCCTCCCCCCACAGCCCGTCGGGAGGGGGACCCTGAGGGTGGGGGCACCCTAAGGGCACTATAGTGCCAGGAAAACGAGTATGTTTTCCTGGCACTATAGTGGTCCATTAACTATTATCAGTTTAGGCTAGTTGACGTTGCTTGCACACCGATTCAAGTTGAGGAGGGCGTTTGGGCATTATCAGAACAAACGCCACAAAACATTTGGGGTCGTTAACACAGCGATAATTAACATTACATAGAATCTGATCGTGGTATGTTATATGTTATAACATGTAATATTTAATTCCGTTTTGCAGACAAATCTGAACAGAACTAATTTGTTTAGTTTTGAATTCATGCTTTTTGGACTTTATTCAATGGGATGTAAGAATGTGCAGCATTTAATTAAAGGTAACTAACAAATCTCAACAATTACCAAAACAAACTGTTAACCGCAATATAAAAGGCATCACATAAAACACATATATAATGACAGATATACACTTATTCCAATTCAAGTCTATCTCTCTTAATCCTATTATGTGGGGGAGGGGGATTTCCAGTTCACAGCTTGTGAATGCTTTCACACATTGTTATATCTAAGTGTATCCACCTACACCAAAAGAACAGATTAAGACTTCTTTATTGCACTTCTACTACAAGACTAGACATCATAATGCTAGACCACCATATTGGTAGATACCTCACCTGCTAAGTTATCCATAAACAGTTTTCTTAGTAAAATGTATACAGTATAAGGAACGCAGTCTCAGGCAACGTATGTTTGTCACACCTTTAATCAAAAGATAGATTCCCAGCTGTTGTAGAAATTCAAGAAATGTCTTTGGGGCAAATAAACGGTCCCTACAGGCTGAGCAGTGCAAACACTGTCACTCTGACAGCCACTAGAGGGACTTCCTGGTTTGGTCCTGCAAACATTGCTGAGCATACTCTTTCTGATGTTTTGAGTCAATGCATTTTTATGAGGAGATGCTGGTTGGCACAGTGTGGTTATGCCACACATGCGCAGTAGCCCTCCTTCGCTTATCTATGGAGAAGCATGGGATTGGCTTAGATAATCAGTGTTGATGAGCTGGAGGAGGAGTTGCATCATGGTAAAATGCCCGGGGGACTAAAGGTTAGTAAAACCCTTTTTTTATTACTTCTGGGTGGAGCTGAATCTAACTAGATAGTGTTACGTGTTTGTATTCCTAATGATGTTTCTTGAAAGTAGTGGTAGTACAGCTGTGCGTTGTGTTTATTAAAGGGACACTGTAGTCACTAAAACAACTTTAGCTTAATGAAGCAGTTTTTGTGTATAGATCATGTCTCTGAAGTTTCATTGCTCAATTTACAGCCATTTAGGAGTTAAATCGTGTTTGTTTCTATTAATGCAATCCTAGCCACACACTGACACAGCCTGCATGGAAAAAAAATGGTTTCACTTTCAATCAGATGTAACTTACTTTAAAAGTTTTTTTTCTCCTGCTCTGTAAATTGAACTTTAATTACATACAGGAAGCCCCTGCAAAATCCAGCAAGCTATTAACAGAGCAGGAGATAAGAAATTCTGAATAAAACAGAATTTTCAATAAAAGAAGTATAAACATTGGATGGCTTTTTACAGGAAGTGTTTAGAAAGGCTGTGTAAGTCACATGCAAAGAGGTGTGGCTAGGGCTGCATGAATAAAAAGAGATTTAACTCCTAAATGGCAGAGAATTGAGACTGCAGGAGCATGATCTATACACCAAATAAAGCGCTGCGAAAAGGTTGAGAACCACAAATGGAAGAAAATTCAGTATTAAATATGTATGACAGTTTCCACACAGGGAGAAAACAGATCATTTCATATGAGTTCATAGTGATCTCATTGTGCAGATTTTGTGACTGATTCAGATCACATTATCTTTGATTATTACACATATAAACACACACTAAAAAACAATTAGCATCATGGATGGAATTACTGGTGTTTGGTGTTGCTCTGTTAGTTGAACTTTAAAGGATCACTATAGGGTCAGGAACGCTGGCTCCGTCCCCTTTGTGATAACATCAAAATGCAAGATTTTGGCTAAAATCGGCATGGGAGCGGGGCAAAATGCCGTTTTGGCCAATCAGAACCTCCTCATAGAGATGCATTGAATCAATGCATCTTCATCAGGAAAATTCAGTGTGTCTATGCAGAGCATGGGGATGCTGAATGGCAGGGCTGCCTTCTGTGCAGCCCTGAGCCAGGAAGCCCCTCCAGTGGCCATCTAAGGAGTGGTGTTTACATGAAAATGCCTGAAGGGAGCTATTATACTCACCAGAACAACTACATTAAGCTGTATTTGTTCTGGTGACTATAGTGTCCCTTTAAACACACACAGGATGCTCCCATAGGCTCTAGCAGGCTATTAACAGAGCAGGACATAAAAAAATAAAATCTAAATTAAACAGACTATGGTATAAAGGAGGTTTGACTGTTAGATCTCTCTTTACTGGAAATGTGTAGAGAAACTGTGTAGGTCACATGCTGGGTAGGTGTGGCTAGGGCTGCATTAACAAAAAGATTTAACTCCTAAGTGATAGAGAATTGAGCAGCGAGACTGCAGGGGCATGATCTATACAACAAAACCACCCCATTAAGCAAAGTTGTCTTGGTGCGTATAATTTCTCTTTTAACATATAAATAAGCAGAATTTGAATATAACACATTTAATTTAAAACAGACTGGTCCAAGGAATTTCTACTCCGCAGTGCACTTACAAGAATTACTTTGCACTTTCTAATAATGGATCCCTGCAAATATAATGGAACCCTTTAGAACAAAAAAAAAAATGAATACTCTATCCCCCTGATCTCCCAATATAGTTCTCACCCCACATTCCAGTGTTCCGGTGACTTGCACTAGGAGGCTAATCGTGAAATGGGTGGGCAGAGCTCAAAGCATCTAGAGAATTTTCTGACTAACTAGGAAAAAAAGAGTTTATGCCAAGAGGTTACGTCTTTTTTGATGGCATTCCATAAGTATATAATGTTATTTAACACACAGAACAAATATAACAAGCATGTATAATCAGGCTTATTTTACAGAAAATTGTATACAAAAGAATACTTCTGAAAAACATTTTGCAGGGATGATGAAATGGGATGCAGAAATTAGAGTAAAGATAATTTAGATTAAACAGGTTCTGAGAGTATTGAAGAAACTACGAGAGTCCTGGAGTTGGTGGGGCTGTTGAAATTTTTGAGGTTTAAATAGAAACTTGTTTCCTGATTTATCACTTTGGAAGATAATTTTAAATAATGTGAACAAGCAGTGGGTTGAGCCTTTTTTTTATTGCAATGGAAATCCAATTATTTCTGAATCAAAAGAAAACCAGAGCTTGTAGGAAGCCAAACCAGAGCTGTAAATGTGAGAAGGTTTTATGGTTTCCAAAAAAAGTGTCCTGGGAAATTTAAAGCAGTATCTATTTACTTCTATAGGGATGTATAAAATGTGTCCTTATATAACTTATGCACTGTACTGAGAGTCATCAGCCTTTTCCTCTATCTGAACAGGAGATCCAATTAACCATTTGCTTTCTACTCAGGTGAGAAATGCATTGTTCAGTTAATCTAAATCTTCAACAGAGAACAAGTCCCTTCATGTTACATTTAGCAAACCAACTATTTGGGTCTTAATGAGTTGAAACCCCAAATTACACAATTTAAAGGGACACTCCGGACCCCTAAGGTTCTTTAGCTTGCTGAAAAGCTTTATGTGTAAAAAGTGTGTCCTCTGGTTTCATTTTGCAAAATAATTACACTTTTAAAAATTATCTTGGTGACATGTGTATTAATATTGTTTTTGTATTTTATTGTACCCTGATTGTAACAATGCAATGATTTGAGGACCCAGGACATACTTGAAAACGAGAGAAATCTCAATGTATCTTTCCTGGTAAAATATTTTACAAATAAATAAATAAATTCCCTTGGCTTTTAAGCAGGCCATTGATCCTGTTATTTCCTGGTTTGGTTAGCTTAGTTGCACTGAACTGAAGAGGCAGCAATTTCCCAGAGCATCTGCCTTGCATAAAGTTCTCATTGAGCTGCACTTGGAAGTCTGTGATAGGACAGCTACAGAACATCTGGGCGAGGTTAAAGGGGGAGGGTGTGCAAAGGCAACAGACAAGAGAACTGCAGGTTTTGCAAGCTGTTTTTATGAAATGAAAAAGCGCAAAGGGACACAGCTCAATGAAGTGGTCTGGGTGCCAAGTCCCTCAGGTTTTAACCCTTCAGATGTAAACATAGCTGTTTCAGAGAAACTGCTATGTTTACATTGCGGGCTTAATCCAGCCTCTAGTGGCTGTCTTCGTGACAGCCGCTAGAGGCGCTTCTGCGACGCTGGATGCGAAAATCGCATTCAGCGTCCAGAACATCCATAGGTAAGCATTGAGAAATGCTTTCCTATGGACTGTTTGAATGCGCGCACGGCTCTTGGACAAAGGTAAGTGGCTGAAAGTGTTTTAAACCCTTCAGCCCCGCGGGAGAGGGACCCTGAGGGTGGGGGGAACCTAAGGGTTATATAGTGTCAGGAAAACAAGTTTGTTTTCCTGACACTATAGTGATCCTTTAAATGAATGCAAGTTTTAATTTGGGGCACATCTACTGACCAGTGATTTTTATTTAATTTGTACTTGAACAGTGGAGTGTCCCTTTAAGCTAAAATGCCAATTTCTGACTATAAACGAGATGGAGACTTTTCATGTATTTTGGCCAACATTTTGGAAATTGGTTACAGTTTGCTTATTTAGAGAATTAACCACAAACCATATATTTACATAACAAAGGCAAATTAACCCACATACGCCAAGAGGGTAGTCAAATTCATTTCTATATGATTGTTCTTTCACATCATTGTCTGTCATAAAGATATATAATGGAAGCATTATATAGCTATGTAATGTTTTATTTGTTATCGTATGCTGATTACGTTGGTGTTCTGTAATTAAAAACAAACAAAAAATATATACTTTCCCAGAATAGATGGCAATGGACGTTCCCAATTTTACATTACTACTACTAATACTACTACTACAAGGCTACTTAAAATTATCTACCTCATCAAACAAATATGGTGATTCAGTTCCGCTATATCGCCCATCACTACGCCACAGTACCCCAATATTGGTGCGCCCTACACTAGGAGATAAATAAAATAATGCAAGTGCTAAATTAACTAAAGTTTATTTATTTATTTTTAATATATATATATATATATATTTATATATATATATATATATATACAGTGGCACCTTGGTTTACAAATGCCTCAGTTAACATAAATTCCAGTTTACAAATGAAAATCCATTGAAAATAATGCCTCGGTTTACAATTTTTTTTTGCAATACAAAGCAAGTTTCCCCAGGATGCATTGCACCTGGGAGGTTTATAGCACCGCCCCCTGCATGCTGGAGCCTGTGGGTAGCACGTGGCGTCGAGTGTGGAGGTGTTGGAGCGGTTTTGCATCAAGTTTTGGAGCCATTCTGGAAATTGTTTCAGTTGTTTTGGGACTTTTTGGTCCATTTCTCAAGCTGTGGAAAGGTAGGGATCTGCGCTTCATTGTTTGCATGCCTTTTATTGTGTGTTCTGCATTGTAGGTTGGTTTCCATGCCAGCTCATTTTGACTTTTTTTCTGACCTCATAAACAGATTAATTGGTTTTCAATGCATTCCTATGGGAAACCGCGTTTTGGTTTACAAATTTTTCGCAATAAAAAACATCCCTAAGAACACATTAAATTCGTAAACCGAGGTCCCACTGTATATATATAAAAATGTATATAACGGAAAATGAATATGATCAAAAAAATACAGTGTCAAAACAAAACAATTAAAGTGATAGTGCGTGGTTGTATATACTCACAATGCATATCATACATCTGCTCTAAATCATATTTAAAAAAATGATATTCAAGTGACATTACTAACCAGGCAGCGGGCACACCTGAGTGGGATCATGCCATGAACATGCATTTCTCAACAGTGATGCTGCCATAGGGACCAACATTTAAACAAAATAAAAATTTTCAAAACTTACAAGGGTGTTCCGGGTGTGCCCCCAATTCTCTCTCATTCTTTTTTTTTTGTATGGGTTGGGCGCCCCGCTCCCGGATGCACATTTGAAAGTGACAACTTCGGAAGCACCATTGGTGATAAATGCTAGTTCCGGGTGTGCCCCTAATTCTCTCTTGCTCTCTTTTTTTTTTTTTAAACAATAATTTTCTGAGACAAATAATGTCTATGAGACACTTTTGCGGTTTGTGGCTTAGTAAGCTCATTGATTTTACCATAACATTGTGGCCATAGCTAAAAATTGATGTCGGTCAGTCATGGCCACAGATGTCTTTGACCCTATGATGCTTAAATATTTGGATTGTGCATAAAAGAAAAATGTTATCAGTAAATTCACCAGCAGTGATTGACTTAGGAATGATTTGAGAGGAAACCATTTCTAGATGCTGGCTTATCTCACTGAGACGATTCACACTATTGTGTATATAAACTCTCCCAGTATGAACAAGACACTGTGAAATATTGTGTGTACAGTGAACTTTTGTTTGAGTTCTAAAGTAGAACTATCAGTGCTCTATACAATGACAAATCAAACATGTCTCTCTGGTTATCTTTTACTTTTACATTGCTGGATGGCATTCCAGAAAAAGGAGGCAAACACCAAGGAGCACACTGGGCACCATAACAACTGCATCAAAATGTACTTTTTATGGTGCCAGGAGGTCCTTGGCACAGACTCACCTTAAAGAAGCACCTTAAAGAAGCACTATAGTGCCAGGGAAACAAACCCGTTTTCCTGGCACTATCGGGTTATTAGGTCCCCCCCTCTCTCGTGGCTTCCCTCCTGCTGGGCTGAAGGGGTTTAAACCCCTTCAACTACTTACCTTAATCCAGCGCCGGGCTTGCTCTGCGCTGGTGACCTCTTATGCCCTGCCGACGTCAACTCCAGAGTGGAGCCGAATGCGCATTACTCAATGCTTTCCTATGGGGATCTGAGCAATGTTCAATGCGATTTCTTTCACTGAGAATCGCGGAAGCGCCTCTAGTGGCTGTCAGGGAAACAGCCACTAGAAGCTAGATTAACCCTCAATGTAAGAGAAACTGCTATGCTTTCATCCGCAGGGTTAAAATTAGGGGTACCTGGCACCCATACCACTTCATTGAGCTGAAGTGGTCTGGGTGCCTATAGTGGTCCTTTAAGGGGTTAGACAGTTCTCTAACGGTTTTAACCCAAAGTCTGTGTTCCGGTGCGGAATCTCCCTGTCTCTCTGTCCTTCCATTTTCTAAAAATGTTTCAACTGGAAGGCTCAATGCAACTAACTGGCTGAAAGAGGCAGAAGATGCTCCCAGTCAGTCAGTGACTTCCCATTCATAAACCTGGCTTAAAAGAAATGCTCCTTCATAAAAAAGGTATGTATCGTTGCAGAAGGCAATGCCTAACGACATTTGAGCCCGCATTGTGCAGGTCAGCATGGTACGCCCTAATGGTGTTAACGGGTTAAACTACAATAGGTTGGTTTAGAAATCAGTCTGTGTAAATAAAATACAATGTTCTACATTACATTTTAGTTGCATAAACTCATAACAGCCCTGCCCCTGGTCATACCCCCACTCACACTCCTAAAAGTAAAGTGTCCATTTATAATGTTGGGCAGTATGGCCATTTCTAAAATTAATTTTAAATTTCACACCTCACAAATAGGTAATTGTTACACAGAGAAGATATGAAAATTCTCCTTTAACCCCCATGAGTTACATGTCATGATTCCCTTTTATTCCAGAAGTTTGGTCCTTAAGGGGTTAAGGGCAATTCGTAAGAGTGCTTGCAGAAGAACCATTACACGGCAATCATGTGATGCTTACACAGCTTATAATGCAAAGGTTCCCCATATTGCACTGAATGCCATTTTTTGTTTTGTTTATAAAGGACTTACTTGTTTCAACTGACTTAAAATCTGATTACAAATTCACCTAGAGAGGAAGCCACGGAGGACCATTTGATTTTTAATGAACAATGACATTAATGTATGTTTGGACGGAGACAGACAAACTAATAGCAAATGAGTGCTGGGCTGTAGAGAAAGAAGATTTAAATATGACTCAAGATTTAGTTCTGACTAGCAAGTGGGGGTAGGTTTTTGGGGGGAGGGCAGGGGGCTGATCAAAGTCCGTCCTACTGCTTCACACATACAGTCAGCAGCCCAGCAGTGAACAGCACAATAGTAAACTGTATTTAAAGCAAAACAAAGAGTGCTTTAATCTCCCAGGATTAGCATTAGCACTTTTTATTAACAGATTTGCCAAGTTGACAGAGTTTAAGTCTACTGCACCAAAGAGAGAAACGGTCAGGTTCCAGGCTAGAAAGACAAGAAAAAAGATTTAAACACACAGAATTCTTTTTATTTTGAGTATCTCATATCCTACTTATATTTCTCAGTTGTAACTGAAAAAATGTAAACATATACTCTTGATAAAGAAAATTGCTGCTACCCGCAGTCTACATACTTATGTATGTCTATCACATTGCACTGATAATCTTTCTTATTTTACACAGACAGATGTTCATTTGTTTTTGGGAGGTGTGAAAAGTTAACAGATTAATCATATTGTTTGTGGGTTTTAGTTTGCAGCTTTAAAAAAAAAAAATCAAACCAAAACAATTTGACTTTTCATTAATATTTCCACGTTGTGTTCTTTTAACGTTGGTTAACACATTTGATCACATTTGTTTCCGGCACTGAAAGCTGTACCAACTATTATCACTATTACTATCAGGGTTATCTACTAAAGTGTGAAATGTTACGGGCTCTAAGTGAATTTCAAGTTTTAGACGAAAATAGCAGATCTATGACTTTTTCCAGTTCTACTTTGGTCTAATATGTAAACTTCACTTAGAGTTCTCTTGACTTTGTAACAATGCACACTTATCACCCTTTATAACATTCAACTGTTTGATATTTTGATAGCGTGTTATCGATATTGGACTGTACAAAATGCCTGGTTTTTGTTCTTAAAATAAAAAAATAAAAAAAATAAAAAAACAGGATAGATGCGCCTTATTTATATCTGGTAGTCCGTTCTTGGCTCAGCTAATTAGTATTTTCAGAAATGGTTAATATTACTCTTTCTGATACTACAATAGTCACTATGTTGGATTCCCTGGGGTTTTAACAACATTCTAAGATGGAGCATACAGCACCATTTTAAACAGCTCAGTTTTGTTTTCCCCCGGGAGTTCTGTCTTACATTATATTGTCCATGCTATCAACAACGATCACCTAACTTCAACCCTAAGTGAAACAGTGCTTACCGTTCTTAAAATAAAATTGAAAACAGCATTTGTAATACTATTCTCCTGACAATACTTTACAGATTTTTCCTAATGACATAGTTGACAGGTTCTATTAAACAACGGTCTCCTTGACTTGACAGAAAAGCCATATGTGAATTTCAAGCAATTCAGATTGTTAAAATCAGGCTACTTGATAACTTTCATAACACACTGGTTCTCCTTGAAACTCATATTCACCAGGGCAGATACACTAATATATGATTACTATCCTAAATCTGCACTTCCTATCTATTTTACCTTTGTGAATTCTCCCTCGTTGTATCAAACTGAACTCTAGTGTATAGAACACAAAGACTTTACAGAATTTTGCAAGTTCCATTTTCTCACTCAGGCTATTATTGCTCCCACAGAAGACCATGTTTATACTAAAAATAAATATAGCAGCATAGTGTGTATTCTAGAACCAAATATTCTGACAGACCTCTCACTTTTAAATTAATGCACTTGTATTAAATCCCTAAATCGTTCCTGCTAACATTTTCTCATTTTGTTACCCTACTAAGCATCTGACTTTTCCATGTGTCAAATACAAAAAAAAAACACAACCTTGAACAAAAATAAACAAAATCCAGACTAAAATAGAGTGAGAACTGCTGTGTATGGAAAACTATGATAAACAGCTGTTTTCGGTTATATGTGGCCAAACTGTAACTTTCGAGCAAACAAGGCTATGTTTGCTAAGCGGTTGTACTTTGTTTGTGCATGAGAGGGCAACCTCAAACTCATTACAAGATTCTCACATGAAAGCAGATGCAGATCCCCTACGAAACTCTGCAAGTTAATAAGTGGCAGCAGGCCCCAGATTTAGTTCTTCGGAACAATAACCTTGAGGCGAAACTTCATATATAGAATCCAACTGCCAAAGAGCAAGCGCAATAAATTATGTCTCTCCAAACAGGAACACAATGTATCAGTCTTCTTTTTTTATGTTCCACGGGGCCTCTTCAATAATTACACAAAAAATAGTCCCTTCACAAACATTCAGTCAGGAGGGGCAGGTGCACGTCCGAGTTTTACTTTCCCACAATCATTTTTTTGTTTAGAACATCATTTTATAGGGTATAACATTGTTTGGTAGAAGTAACCCATGCATTAAAGCTTGTCTCCTCTAGACAAAATATCAATGGACCATAAAAGGTAAAAAAATAAATAAAAGAAATTGATAATTAGTTCTCCTATGTCTAGCTCTAAAACGTTGGATATATTCAACTGAGAATAAAAGAGTTCAATTAATGATAAAACAATTCATATGTAGATGCACATTATATTATTTTTACAAGAAAAGTTAAGATATATCTTTAGCATCTACATCGTAAATTTTATTTTATTTCTTTTCCTTTTAATTTTTGTCTACAGGAAAATTCTGTATTCTATAGAAGGTCGTGTTAATTAAACAGCACAACAACAAACTGCGGATGATGTGGCACTTGGCAAAAGTGAAATTTAGTTTGGATATGTAGTGCATTTCAAGAAACCGTGGTCATCCACACAAACAAACATGTATCACTCTGCTATTGGGTCTTTTCGATAAACATTGGGCTTTCACAAGATAAACAATTTGAAAAATGGAGGCCCAAAAAAAGCTCAGGTAAATTGCAGATTAGGTTCAGTTTTCAAATATTTTGGCTATAATTATGCGAGTGAGCTGCAAACTCACAGTTTAGTGAAAAACTAAGCAGAACTCTGCTCTGTCTGCACTGAATTCAGCATTCCAGATCTGGACTATATAACTAGATGCAACTATTTATGTCAGAAAATTATATGGCTGAGACGCAAGAATAGAGGGGGTATAGGCAACACCAAAAATGCTCTTAAAATCTTGGTACGCATGGAAACATTCATTGTACCATCAATGGACACAGGTTAAATAAAAATATATTGCCATTTAATTAATATTACATATGTTTTATAAAAGTTTATCTCCACATTTAACATAATCTAACTGTTTTAGATTACAAATTCCTTTGTAACATGTTTTTTTAATATGGTGTTGTGTGTTTGTTTTTTGTGTGTAATGTTTCTCGTTTTAAAGTTATTGCTGAGGTAAAAAGGGAATGTAAACAGCTTCTCTCAGTAGTCCAGTCATGGTCCAGTCAAAATATTAATTTATTTCAAATATAAGCACCTTTTATCATTTGACAACAGGCCTCCCAACAGTCCTGCTTTTGGAGGGACAGTTCCCATTGTGTTGTGAGGTATTGTACTGATATTACCTAGTATGGGGTGAGTATGCATGTATTTAACTCCTTAATCTGTGTCTGGCATTTGTTGCACAATCTATTTGTTTTACAACAGGATTAAAACACTATGTGTATCTACCTAAAATAGTCATGATTGATAGTTGATCGCTATAAAGTCTAAATAACATATCAAGAGAATAAAGTGGAAGCAGGTTAGTCGAAATTTTATAGTTTTTCTATAGATTGTTTTGTTTATACATCGTGCGCTTAATACCATTTAAACAATGTTTCCCCCATGTTGTTTTTTTAATCTCTCTTGCAGTGTAGGAGGTATCCTGTTCTTACAAATTATATCAGAACTAATATTGTGCTGGGCACTATATTGGTAATGCCAGAATGTAATATCTAACCAAAAGTTAAATATTAGCATAGTAGACAAATTAGTAACATACTACCACCCTTGTCGACAGTTCTAAATTTGGCAGAGCAAATTCTAGTCAATCCATCTTTTTTTATTTTTATTTTTTTTCCACTTCAGGAGAGACCAAAGAAAATCCCTATGAAGTGTAACGTGAGCATGACATTAAAAGGACACCAGATACTGCATATTGCAGTGGTTGTGGTAATATGTTCCTATGATCTGCATTCTGACAAATGATTTTGGAGCTGTGATTAAAAACAAACAAACAAACCACAAATGTGCTCACAACACCTACAGCCCACCCCCTTTGCAGACTAGCTCTCAGAGTTAATTAAAGAAACACTAAAGCCCGCCAAACACTTCATCTCAATCCCCCACAATATCACCAGTAACGTTAAGTGTATTAATGAAATGCCCACTCCATCCCTTCCCCGCACATCTCCTATTTTTATAGCTCCTAGATATAGGGAATATATAATCCTTAACTTTGAAACCACATCAGTGTGTAACAATTGCAATATTGCATAAGAAAACCATTTAACTTGATAAGTCTGCTAGATAAACATTCAATTTATACATGTTGAACATGTATAAAAATGCTAAATGCCAATATTTGTGGTCCGACACAGTGTTCATTTTGCCGACTAACAATTTTAGTAAAATTTTAGTCTACTAAAATTTTTTATATTTAGTCGACTAAAACTAGACTAGAACTAAAATGGCTTTTTATTTAAAAGACTATGACTAAAACTAAATTGAAAGTTGCCGCCAAATTAAACACTGGTCTGGCAACCGTGAAGGATTTTCGTATTTCTCTTTTTTATTCCAATGGAAAGACTGACAAAACCTGAACTATTGCTGGGCCGTGAGGACTGGTGTGGGAACCACTTTCTTAAATCATTTTAATACACTACTGAACAATACAGCACATGTGTAGTTGAATTGAAGTTGCGACACCTAGGACAATTATGTGCTACTTGTGAAAACGTTGTATCAGCTCAGTCAGCAGCAAGCTTATTATGAAACAGGGGATATGCAATGTGAAGATTCTGACCAAATCATGTAACACAATGATGACAAATACTAGAAAGAGGAAGGGACAAACGTGAGAAGTAAAGCACACTACCAGGAAGGTTACATTAGCGGAAGTGTCCTTGGCCTATCTTGAATCATGTGCAATATAATGTTACAGCAAAATCACATTATACAGCCATGCAACAAAGAAATACAGCAGAGATGCACAAAAGGCTATTTGGATCACTTCTAATACACTAATTTAATGGTAGGAGAGGCGCACAAATTCATGACTACCGAGCCAAATCCAGGACTCTTGGAAGGTATGCATATGGACATGATCTCAATTTTAATTTTATTTTTCTATTAAAAATGGCTTAAACATTTGATTTTGGGAAAAAACTCTAACTCAGCTATAGTCATAGTTAGGCGATTTTAGCCTACATTTATCCATTAGAATTTTCATTTGCTACAATTCGGCATTTGATAACCAAACCTTTAAGTGTCTGAGTTTCAAACAGGTGACCAATGTTCATTAAATGGAATGTAAATAGAATGCTGCTTTTCTATTTTTCTGCAAATACTATTTTTTTTTCTTGATGTTGGCTCCATACGCCTCGAAACAGACTTATTAAAACAGAATGCTGGATTACACTGTAGTAGAAGCTGGCAAGGCTATTATTGTGCTGTATGTGGGTGGAGACACATCAAGCGCCATTAAGAACAACGAATGCTGCCATTTTGAATGTAACTTCTGTTCACATCAAAAGGATTTACAGCCACATTAGCACATAACGGAGGTTGACTAATCACTCCCACAGGAATGACAAGCAATCTTCAGAGTTCGTTGTGGCTTTCCAAGTGTAGAATGAAAGAAAATGAATTCTCGCTATAAGATTTATGAGCCCCTATATATGAGCACTAAAAGAATTACATCTGTGCAACATTTTTTCCCCCCTGGTTATGTAATACCCCAGTGGGAGACATACAAAGGTGTGGTGGAATGGAGAGCTTCCCTGTTAATAGGAAGAACAGAATCAATTATTCTATACAGAAATATGTAAAATATCACTATCATTTTAGAGTACGCATCTATAGAATAACAGGGAAACCTGAATGAGGCTGTAGTTTTTCCATCCGACCAGTTTCTTATTTGGAGTCAGCTCTGGTTATAATATAATTAAATAATTTTTCATTGCGATACCACCCACATTTGAATGTGGGGGGAACCCCTGGAATACAATTATGTAATATACACATTGGTAGTTTAATATTTTGGCCAGTAAACCATGGTCAGACTTCAGAATTAATGAGCCATAATACATTTTAAATAATGAACTGATATTTTCAAAGGGTTAATTGGCACACCAAGGGAGTGGTGAGAGGGGCGACCTCCCCCAAGTGACATTTCCAAAGGAGCTACAAATTGCTGTCAGGCAGGCGCTTATGGTCGCCAGCTTGGTGTCACCGCAATCTGATGGGGTCACCAAGCTAGGGGGTAATATAGCAGGAATGTGGAACTTCACTCAAATCCATTTGCAGTGGGTTCAATAAATTTGCCTTTTTGTATCCTGAGAGTGTCTGGACTTCTCTTCTATTTTTCCTTATCAAGCTAGGGGGTGTGACACGAATCCAGATACTATAATCAGGATTGGTTCCAGAAGGGATATGACGACACTGTGCAATGATGGCACCACCATAGCGTGCAACCCTGAAATTAATCTACCTATTTAAATGGTAAAAATCAGACTCATGGCAGGGTTGGCACTGTTTTTAATGCCAAAAATCAAGAAAATTGTGTTTAATAGAGGTCATTTGAGATTCATTGGCCTAACTGCAATTAACCCCTTGAAAACATCAGTTACATATTTAAAATAAAGAAAAAACGCACCCATGGCAGGGTTGGCACTGTTTTCTGTGCCCAAATTGCCAGTGGGCCAGGCTAAAACCAATTGTGTTTAATAGAGGACACTCTACTCTGTGTAAATCCATTTGAGATTCAGTGGCCCAACAACAATTAACCCTTTGGAAACACTGCTTACTTATTCAAAATGTATTTTGGTTCATTAATTCTGTGGTTTGCAGTGGTTTACTGGCCAAACTAATAAAATACCATTGATGTTATTACATAAGTGTATGCCTGGAGCTGCCCCTACATATTGTCATTATTTAAATTTGATTGGTTTAATTTAAATTATAACCAAAGCTGACTCCGAATAAGAAACCAAATTCCACAAGTAATAAACTGGCTATGTAAGAAACCAACTTCAGCCACGTGAACCCTGGTTCTCTACTTGTTATCTCAGGAGTTTATAACCAAAACATTGTCATAGTAACTTAAAGGGACACTGTAGGCACCCAGACCACTTCAGCCCATTGAAGTGGTCTGGGTGCCAACTCCCATCACCCTTAACCCTGCAAGTGTAATTATAGCAGATTTTATAAACTGCCATTGCCGTGCATGCGCATAAGGTTTCCCACGCCGACGTACATCGGCACTGGAGGAACGTGGGCGGAGTCTCAACGTGGCCATCTTGAATTAACATTTGCACTTTTACTTCAAATACTCAATTCACCACAAATAAGTTTAGTGTATAAAGCCTCTAGAAAATGTGACATTGATCTGTGCCTCCAATACAGCTTTGGTTGAACTGAAACCTCAATTCTAACCTGGTAGCCTATGACTACAGCAGAGAATAAGTGGAGGCGTAGTCCACCAAACACAGATGAGAAATGGTAGAGGTTAGTCCCACAAGATCAACATCTTCGATCTAGTGTAAATCGCCTTCTAAAGTACCGATGGCCAACCAGCTACTTTTAAGATGGTTTGAAACTGCAACTTCCAACATCCTCAGACATGATGAAGATGGAGGCATTATGGATACTGTTGAAATGGTTGCCTCCCTTTACCTTTCTGTATACAATAAAAACCCAGCAAAAGGAAGAGGGACTCCCATCTCTCAATTAATAGGTTATTATATCTAATATATCTGGCAGGCTGTTTGACTCCTTGCCAAACTGGAATAAAACATAATCCTTCATTTAATCTTTGACACGCGCTGCTTTCATTGAGACTCAACAGATAATAGTGGAGTAGGATGTTTGGTTGGCAGCCCATATCCTTGGCAATAAAAGTAATGTTTTCAGTTGACCCCCATCACTGAGAAAGGTTACAAAAAAAAACTTAAGTAAATGTAAAAAATGCATCCTTCGCTGTGAGGTTTGAATTAAGTATTAATATATCATGTCACCATCAATCACTTAACCCCTTAAGGACCAAACTTCTGGAATAACAGGGAATCATGACATGTCAGACATGTCATGTGTCCTTAAGGGGTTAAAGGGACACTATACTCACCAAAACCACTACAGCTTAATGTAGTGGTTCTGGTGTCTATAGCATGTCCCTGCAAGTTTTTCAGTGTAAACATCTGCCTTTTCAGAGAAAAGGTAATGTTTACATTACTGTCTAGTAACACCGCTAGGTGAAGTCATTCAGACAGCCACTAGAGTTGCTTCCTGTGTCAGTGCTGCACTGTGTGCATTTAGCTAAACGCCCCCCAAAGAGATGAATTGATTGAATGCATCTCTATGAGGAGATACAGATTGACGCAGTGTGACATGTTGCGGCGCATGCACAATAGCCTTACATTGGCTGAGATTATCAAGATTGATCTCAGCCATGGAGGTGGGGTCAGTTGCTGTGAGACTGGAGCGGCGATAGAGAAAAGGTAAGTAAATCTACCTTTTATCTCCACTCTGAGAGGGGCCAGGGATCACGACCACTTCAGTAATTTGCAGTGTTTCTCTATGAAATGCTGCACATACAGAGTTTAATCCCGTAGTGTAACTCCATAATTGTGCATAATTAGCCAATCAAGAATAACAATTTTATCTTATATCTTATATATCTATGCACAGGATGTCATTCATTGGCTGATAGCATTTACTAACGCTCACAATCAATAAATGATCAGGTTCTGTAGCTCTGCATGTTGTAAGTCTGCTGCACAGGACACCTGGCACCCAGTGTGGACCCTGGTAAGATATCAAACATTGTACAATTGTTTGCCCCATTACCAGGGAATGGTTGAACTGCTGCCGGTGCAGTCAGTGTGGCTGCACTGGGGGCCGCAAGCTCAAGGTGCCCATTGGGTGACCCATGCATTTAGGGTCACTCTTTGGCCATCTTTGATCAGGCGTACAAGTCATTTCCTCCCAGCTTACCAACAAACTGCGCAGGAGAGCGAGAAAGGAGGGACCTGTAAGGAGGGAGAGCCTTGAGGAGACTCCCATCAGACTAAGAACTGGACCCCAGGTAAGCCACCCTCATGCCCCATAAAGTGTATGTATGCATCTGCGTGTGAATGTGTCCATGTGTGTGTTTATATCATTAGGTGTGCTTGCACTGGGTAAAGTGACTATAGTTTGGCTATCAGGAGCAAGTGTCAGCCTGATGTACATAAATGCCAGGCATCTTCCTTTCTATGTGGTAGTCCTGTGCCGATTTATTGTTATACCTCTCTCAGCCCATCCCCTGTTCCACATTCATATATCCCAACGTAATGCATAATATCAAACCTGCCAGCGATATAGGATAATAAGCACAAATTCTACCCATTCCACATGTTCCCTTGGAGACAAAGCGATTTTAAAATCTACTGGGGTTTATTCAAAGAGTCTGAAATGTCCGTAGTCCAGATTAGAAAATATAATCCAGCAAAATCCATGCATTGTTCACAAGATTTATCAGCATCCAAATTACCTTGGATGCAGTCCAGTTCTCAGTCTGTTTGGATGCAACTGAATGACTGACATCTAGAACTCAATTATGGAAATACACAACCAAATTCTCAAATGACCTATCTGCCTGAAAATTGCATTAAAACAGATTTACACAAATAGGGGCTTATTCTAACAGAATTAATTTATTGTTAATAATTATACTTATATTAAAATGAGTTTATAGTATTATTTATTATATTTCTTTTATGTTAGTTTATTGACATAGCATAATATATATTTTTTAAAAGCACACCATCTTCAAAATGAAAGAACTATATACCTTTTGGATGAGAGAGTCCCTCTGTGTGGATACATTTCACATTATATCAAGGTGTAAATGTATGTATATACATCACCCATTGTACAGCGCTATGGAATTTGCTGGCGCTCTATAAATAATAAAATAATTATAATAATGAATTCTCATGTGCGACTGGTTGTTGCCTCTATGACACTCTTACAGAGTTATTCACTAAATTCTGAATACTAATTCAGAGGCCTTTGGAGGAAGATACTCAATAGATCCTCCTTGGCTACTCCAACAAATACATGTGATGTATGTGCAACTTTGTTTAAAAGGAAACTCCACCATGCCTTTGTTTAGGCAATGCACACTAATGCAGCAAAGTACAGCATCACTGGATCAGACGCAGAAAAATAAAACTAATGGTGGATGGTTAAAAAGAAACCGAGAAAAAAAAAATAGTGCCATTTAAAAAAATTGGCATGATTAATCTGGCCCATAGAGAGAAATTGGACTCCAGAGGATTTTAATCAGTAGTTCGAAGTACGTGTTTAAGTTTTACTACTAAAAAGGTAGAGATTTATTTTTGCTTATCTGTTAAATGCAAAGCAGTCGCAGCTGTTTTATGCATATAGCAGATGTTCTATGTTTTTTTTAATGCACCAGGCCTTCAAATTGCGTGAATGTTTTTAAGTTTACTTCTAATCTCCTCGTTATTGGGCCAGAAAAGTAGCTTTCTGTACTCACCGATTACCGTTTATTACATCACACCTAACTCAGAATTGTGGAGGACTACATATAATTCTAGGGTGTTATTAGATGCGTGATCCAACTCAGCAATATTTCAACCTCAACTATTTTATAGTATAAAATTAAATTTTTTAGTTAATTCTCCATAATTAAGGATTTTACGAATAAACTTCAGCAATATTTCAACCTCAACTATTTTATAGAAAAAATTTTAATTTTTGAGTTAATTCTCCATAATTGCGGATTTTATGAACAAACTTCAGTGTTGTTCACATTTCTAAAGACAATCTATTGCTGGTTGTTTCTCACAAAACACTCAATTCTTCATTCCTCTTCCTGCTCAGGTGAGGAACACATCAAAGGTTGACCCCACCAACAATGATGAACAATGATGAATTTCTGATAGGGTCAGTGATGCTCCTCTTGACTGCTGATTAGTGTTGCCAAAACAGACCCCATTGTTCAATAACCCCGACTAACGCTATAGAAAAATCATGATGTCATCAAGGGCAAAATGTGGGGGGGATTTCAAACCTACATGACTACTCTGAAAGCAGATTGAAACATATACCACTTTATTTATTTTTGTACAATAAAAATAACAGTTATAAAATAGTGTCTCTGAGTAAAAAGCTGTCATTAATCTTATTAATAATAATCGTAATAATATTAATTTAATAAAATATTTCACTGTATTGTACTGATATTAACCCATAAATTAAAAAAAATAGATCTCTGAATATTACTTATCCAATTGCCATTTAGACATCTGTAAAGACTGATCAAATCACCTCTTCAAGCAGAGAATTCTACATCCTACTGTAAAAAGCAAACAAAACACACACACACACACCTTAAATATGCAAAGCCATTTCTGACCATTTTATTGACTGAATGGAATTATGAACTTTGTAAAATGAAGTGAAATTTAGCAATTTCAAGGGTCTCTGAGCTATTTTAATAGCGAACCACATTTTCCCATGTTTGCACATAATACTGAGTTGGAAATTGTCAGTAATCGTCTGTAAAGCAGTACAGAATTACACTGGTTCATGGTCTGATGATCATGCAGCATCTTTCTGTTCATCATCCCCCTTCTAGTATCCTGCTCTATTGGTTGACACAGTTTCACCCTATGGAGTGAGCGAATAGCAAGGTATGGCCATTTCTGCTTAAAAGGAGGGAGGCTTGAGCGCTAGCAAAGCATTGTAGCTGTGGATCACTCATGCAGCAGTAGATTGTACACAAAAAGAAGGCGTGTGATGGTTTTTGTTTTATAATGCATTGTAAAAATGACAATAAAAGCAAAATAACAATATAAATTGACACAGAGAACAATCTGAATGGTATTTTGAAGTCTGAAGCTCTCTAGTAAATACAGCATTCTATAGATTGTATTCTCAAAGTAAGTAGTCCAGTGTCAAAACACCTAAATTATAAACATAAACAGCAGTGACGACACACTTTGACAGCCTATACAAAAATGTTTACTCAAGCCTGTCTAACAAGATATTTGAACTTTGCCCTTATTTTTGAGTCAGTAACATCATGTTTCAATTTCCACTCGAGTAGCATTCACCTCCCCTGCTGATATTTTAGGCCACGAATCCACTGCAGTATTGCAACTGCTCAACAACAGAATTACATCTGGTTCTAATGGCATTTTCAAATAATCACCTTTATTTTGGGCAAAAGAGATAGTAAGATCAGGAAAAAGCAACACTCAGAGTGGGCAAAAATAGCATAGCTTGCTGAGTGGGCAGTTTTTCCCCCTGAAGACTATTAGCTAAAGTAGGTATCACTTCTCCCCAGCCTGGATGGTGGAGACCATATACACAGGGGCAGATGTGACATTGTGTGTGCCCAGGTTGTCACCCAGAATACCTGGACAGGAAGAAGCTGAAACTCTAATCAACCACTACTCTAACAATGTTTCCAGGGCAATAAATATCTTCACTGTGATAAAAACAGTTTTTCACATACTCGGTTACCTGAGGGAACTTTTGTAACAGAACACCAATTTAAAAAATAAATAAAATAAAAATATTTGCATGTGTTCCTATAAACAGGCCCTTCCATAAACAAAAAAACAAACACAAAAATAAAAAAAAAACACATAAAAGCGCCATTAAATCGTACTTTCTTTCAGCACTGAGATGATGTCATCAAACTTAATGGCTTTTTTGTTAAACAAATACTTTGTGTAGAGAAGAACTGAGGACACAATGCACATGAGCATCAATTGTGACAATCCACAAGTCCAGTGGTTCTCTTTTAACCTGGTATTGGCATGCTTTGCTTGCTGACAACTGGACGTCAAATAGATACAATAAATAAATCTATTTTAGTCTGAGGACCTATTTACATTTTGCAATTCCCACGCCTACTAGGAGCAGCTGTCAGAGAGATGGCCACAAGTAGGTGTGTAAATTAAAAACACTCACAGAGTGTTGTTTTCTCAGAAATAGCACTTTTATTTCCCCATTTGCACCTATGTCCCCAAAGCACTTCATTAAGATGGAGTGATTTTGGTTTCTTACACTGTCCCTTTAAGCAGAGTAAAAGAGCAGTCACAATCTTCAGTGTTGTGTCAGTGCTAGCATATTTATGCTGATTTGCATTTTAAAATATACAAGGATTCTAGCAAAATGCTGGTAGGGAGAAGGCGGGAGGTCTTTAAGGAGTGACACTTCTAATTTTCTCACTTTCCCATCTTCTCAAGAGGTTTAACCCCGTCCATACAAACATGTCCGTGATATCATGATAACCAGAGGTTTGACTAACTCAGAAGCGGAATGGATTAATATTGTGTACTATAGACTGTATTTAATATTAGTAATGCCTCTGTAGAGCTTATTAAAGGTTTCAACCCCTAGTGAAAGGATATATTGGGACTTGATAAACCCTTGTCATCACGGAGTTAACTGTGTGCTTTTCACATTCCAATAAAAACAACAGAAAGTCTTCTTAGTTGGCAAATGTTTGTCTGCTAAGTTTTGTAACAGTAAATACATGAGATCATTTTTCCATTTTAAGCTCCTTGAGTAGAACTTTGAACTTTTTTCTTATTATTTTTGCTTTTGCATTTAATGGTGTCTCAGAGGGACTTGCTGAGTCGGCAAAGCAGGATGTAAATGTCTGCATTTTCTTGTGCACTTAGATGACCTTTATTGTATCCTAACATGCCAGATTCCTATCTGCGAGGCCATGTGATCTTAGTGAACCCGAACAGAAGAAGAAGAAAAAAAAAAAAAACACCACAACAACAAAAACTTAACAAAGACTTAATTTAAAAAAAATACTTATTTTAAACAAAAATTGCCTTAATTTGTATAATTTGCATATTGTGAGTGTTTTAACAGCTTTCCAAACAGCTGATCTATAGATGGGAAAAAAACACAAAAAAACAAAACAAAAAACATATGCTTTAATGCTAAAAACAGAACAAAAACCACATGTCAAATATATTCAAGATCCAAGTTTATTTTCAACCACTAATGTCTCCAGAAGCCAAGATGGTCTAAATTATTACTTGCACACTAAAAGAAGAAAAATCCTTTTTTTTTTTTTTTTTTTGCTAAAGCTTGAAGATTTATTACTTTTATGTGGAAATTAATACTAAGCAATTAACTGTGTCTTTTATAGACAACAAGAGGGTAATCAGGTATAGACAATAAGAAGATAGGGGCAGAAAAAGACAGTTATTGTGGTTACTGTCTGGGTACTAGACAGGACTTGATTGTACATTTGTTTATCTATGTATGCTAAGTCAATCGGGGATTTGAAAACAGAATAGAACATGTGTAGCTATTTGTAACAGTACGGTGGTGTTCTGGTTAGATTTTGACTGTAAAATAAGTAATTTGAGGAATATTGATGGGTCCTGCCAGGCCAGAGGGATCTGTACTATAACAGGAGTTTAATGTACAATGGAGGTTATTCTAGAAACTGTGAAAAGCTTCCAGACAAACAAGACCAGCTTTCTTTATAAAGAATTTACAGAGGAAACTTTTTTGCAACTTTTATATTTTTTGTGCTGTCATGGTTTCTGTGTTAAGCTTTTTATGTTAAATAAATTGTAGTGGAATTTCTGTTTTTGCAGATCATTATGATATCAACACATGTACATTATGGCTCATGATGATATCCCTGGCTAGACTGAGCTGGACGGTCTGTTCTCAATAGTACCATTCTAGGAAATGTCATCAGAACCATCTAATGTTTAGCTAGACAATGTCACGGCTTCTGTCCCTCCAGGATGCCGCCAAACATGTACTTTTGTTGTGAGTAATTTTACCATCTTTTCTAAGGCAGAGCGCTACCTCCTTGTGTTTTCTTATACCTATCGCAGCCTGTGTCATTTTTCGCAGTCACGGCTATAGTGTTGCTTTGGGCATGTTCTGGCATCAAAATGTGGCACAAACCAATAAGACCTGAGTCTAGTTTATTTGGTGCTGCCACTCAGTTTGCTCCTTACCCTGTCATGATCTTGAATACCAGAGAGTGCGAATCTGAGTGATGTTTGAGACTTCTGGTTTCAGACTTGACTTTGTTTATTGCAATGCAAATAAATGGAACCACACTCAATTCACATCAAGCCATGGGTGCCGAACTAGACCATGGACCAGCACTAGACCAACAGTGATAAATACCAGTAACAGAGAGAAGGTCCAGACACTCCAATAACGTCAAGCACGTTTAGTTGAACATGTGGAACACTGCAACATTTTGACCCAGGAGGGGGTCTTTATCTCTGGCACTTGACTTTGTTTATTGACTTCCCAGCCTTCTATAATCCTTGACCTTGGCCTGATTCATTGTATGTTCTGTGCTCCTTGAACTCAGCTCTTTCTCTGACTATCCTGTGTCTGCTAGAAGGCTGTTCCCTATGTCTTTTACGGTAAGCCTTTTCCGCTCTAAGCACTGATAATAAGCTTCTCGATACTGTTTGTCCTAGGCTTGCATATTGAGGTCTTAACAGACAGTAGTGAAACCCAGCACGCAGATTTCCGGAGAATTATTGGAAACCAACTCACCATTGCGATTCAAAAAGACGACTGTATACATATTAGAACAATATGAAATAATGAGATTAGATAATGCATTCACTTTAGAAGAATTAAGGAAACTCTCTCCAGGAACGGATTACAATTCTACTATTAGGTCAACATTGTTAAATTTGTTGCCCAAGCTATATTTCACAGAATCCTATGCTAGTCAATTCCTTTAACATCTTCTAGTCAGGGCCTAGAAATTAATTATTGGAAATGTCGTCCAACAAAAAGTGAAAATCCAGGCTGAATAACTGTATCGGATAGAAAAATCTTACATCTGGCATAGAAGTGTAAAATGCATGTTTGCTTTTATTTTTGAAAAACATTGATCAAAGTAGATCATTTTTACAGCTTGCCTCCTTCAAAACAATGGAAAATCGGCTACATGGGAGAATGTTTAGTTAAAACATCTCTGAAATGGCATAGAATGGGTGAATTTGAGTAAAATCAATATAAAATCAATTAGAATAATTAACTGCTAGGGACACCCCTCTGGGCATCAACAAAATTCATATAAAGCAGAAGACATTAAAAGGAATTTATCATTTCTGTTATCTAGAATAAATTTACGAATAGCATAAAAACCTAAATGCTCTATTTTTTTTTATTATTATAGAAATAGGGGAGTTAAACCTGTCCTTCCTTTTTGTTAAGATTCTTAATTTTTGGTCAGCTATGATACAGCGCAAAACCCTTAGACTCTCAGGCTTCTGGTAAAGGACCCAAGAATGAGGAATAAATATACCACCCAGGAGGGGTGAGTTAATTAATATAAAGTGCAACATTGTACCCCGCCCAGCCCCCAGCTTCAGAGGCCCCTTTGGAGGTGACCACAAGACGGAGGAGGTTTTGGATTGTAATGTCACTTTTATTATAATTTTCATAGAGCAGATATACTATATACAATGTGGGTATATACATCAAAGCACTATCACTTGAATTGTTTAGTTTTGAGACTACATTTTTTTGAATTGCGTTTATCACATTACTTTAGCAGTACAGTGGAACCTCGGAACGTGAAACTGATTTGTTCGAAAACCGAATCAAAGTTTTACATAAGAATTAATGTAAATAAGATTTATCCGTTCCAGACCCCCCAAATTACAGCATTTTAACACAAATTTTACAGTTTAATAATACCTTATATGCATAAAATCATACAGAAAAACAATAAACACAATGTAAATGAAATTATAATGTCACTTCACTTTACTTGTCAGCTCTGTTTGCTGACAGAATGGAGCTCTGGTCGCTTTGTCTATTGCTAAGAGGCCGATGCGTAATACCAAATAGGTACCAACAAGGTTAATACCATGTGATTTTGTTCTAATACAGAGTTTTGTTCGGGTACTGAGAAGTTTTTTCTCAATTTTTTTTGTTTAATTACCGAATTGTTAGAGTACGGGAGCATTCCAATTCCGAGGTTCCATTGAATATATATTCACGGATTATTAAACTACACTTTAGCTTATTTAGCACTAGCACGATTTAACTTCTCTCCCACGTTGGAATTAGTGTAGGACCCACCGATATCGGGGTACTGTGAAGTAGTGTGGAGCTTAACTCAATATGGTTATACGGTGGAAACTGAATCCTATATTTGTTTTTCTGAGATACGTGATTTTAAGTAGCCTTATAAAATATAAAAAAAGTATTTTTATGTGTGCGCTGTTCCTTGATCTGTATTACGTATACATTTGGGTCACTACGGCAGCACCATTCCTGCAGAATGCATACGTCAGGGTGTGCCCCCGATTCCTTTTTGTCTTTACTATATTATTGTACAGTGACTAGCAAACTATTGTACAACGTTAAAGCAGAAGACTGTGATCCTTGACGGATTTTCTTTCCATCCAGTTTGTGACATTATCTTTATAGTAAACAACATAGTAAAAGATTGAGCATCCGAAATATTAAAGTTGAGATTACTGTCTTTGGAGAGTATATAAAAGTAACAGTGGAAGGGTGGGTAAGTGGAAAAAGGGGGCGGGGAGGAGGGGATTGGGGGGAAATTGCCATGGCACCCGGCCTTTTTTATGGGGTTTAATGTAGGCCCAATCTTTCCCTTGGGTTGCACCCAGAGCTTAAATGATGTAAACGTTAGCAACAAAAGAATATTTTGTCTTATTTTCACACACGAGCCTTGGATCTGCTCATATTTGGCTTCATGACAACTGTATGAATGACACTAATAGCAGGAACAGTTTTTAGAGCAACAAAAGTGTTATTAGATCTACGTTCACTCACTTTAAATACTCCCCTGTGTGCAAAATAAAATTTCTAGTTTCAATTTATCTAAATGTCTTAATTTCAAGAATTGCACTGATGTAGACTCCAAAGCCACTAACAAGCTAGCTTTTACAGTAGCACACATCTAAATGCGTTACTTACAGAATAATTTTAACATATATAAACGGAATGAAACTGTAATTTTATGTTGTGGAGAACGCTCTGCCTTAATCTGCGCTATGGTAATGCGGTGTAGATTTCTCTGTTAGACAGCTTTCTTTCTGTGTGAAGTTACATTACATTTCCCTTGGTACTATCTCCTCCACGTCTGATTCTGTCTTACTTTACAGAGCGCATGTCAATTTAGATCCTCAAGGACTGTAATCTTGCCAGAGTTTTCGAAAAAAAATGTAACATGTAATTAAACAATTAACATTGTCTCTTTCTGAGCAACCGTGTAGTCCACGAGGATTTACGTGAGACGCTAATCCTTCACAGAATTTTTTTTTAGAAAACATTCTGCCAGGAAGATTATATTGAGATTTCTCTATTTTAAGCATATCCTAAGAGCAATACATAATACACTATAGTTAAAAGGATACATATTTAAAACCTATAGAAAAATCGATAATTCAATCATTTACTATTTTCCGTTACTGGGTTAGAGATTCTATTTTAAAATATAAGTATCTTTGGGTAATTAACAAGAATACTGTAGCGTTAGGAATACAAAGCTATACTCCTAACACTATGGTGTCCCCCTGCCCCTCCATCTGCCCCAGCCATGTAAAGGGTTAAATAACCCTTTAAACACTTACCAGAATTCAGTGCCGGGGATCATGCTCCTCTTACATCAGCTGATGGGGGGAACTTTATGTGCATGCACAGCAAGGACTTCCTCATAGGAAAGTTATGGTAATGCGGTGTAGATTTCAATGCTTTTCTATGTAGTTTTTCATCATGCTGGACGTCCTCATACAAAGTGTGAAGACGTCCAGCGTCGTTTTACGGGGTCAAAATCAAACAGGCACTCTTAACACTGCAATGTTTTACACCCAGACCACATCAATAAAATGAAGTTGTCTGGGTGCCTGTAGTGTCCCTTTAACAACAATCGTCCCATAGATGGAAATGGGAGAAGGGATGAGAAGTCCCTCTCCTCTAAAAGAATCCAGCCCTGGGTTTGATTTATGTAGCAGAGAGAGCAATATAGGCAAGTTGGTAAATGTGACAGAACCCATGAAAATCAATGGAACGCTTCTGTGAATTGACCCACATTAAAGGACCACTATAGTGCCAGGAAAACATACTCGTTTTCCTGGCACTATAGTGCCCTGAGGGTGCCCCCACCCTCAGGGTCCCCCTCCCGCCCGGCTCTGGAAGGGGGAAAGGGGGAAAAACTTACTTTTTTCCAGCGCTGGGCGGGGAGCTCTCCTCCTCCGATCCTCCTCCGTTCCACCCCGTTGGCTGAATGCGCACGCGCGGCAAGAGCTGCGCGCGCATTCAGCCGGTCGCATAGGAAAGCATTCACAATGCTTTCCTATGGATGCTGGCGTGCTCTCACTGTGAAAATCACAGTGAGAAGCATGCAAGCGTCTCTAGCGGCTCTCAATGAGACAGCCGCTAGAGGCTTTGGGGGAAGGCTTAACCCATTCATAAACATAGCAGTTTCTCTGAAACTGCTATGTTTATAAAAGAATGGGTTAATCCTAGCTGGACCTGGCACCCAGACCACTTCATTAAGCTGAAGTGGTCTGGGTGCCTAGAGTGGTCCTTTAAGCACTTTGCCAAAGAATTGCGCTCTATTCATGCAAAACACTGAAGCTGCAATTAGATTGTTTAAGGGAAGAATTGCTTAAGATGTACCAGTTTTGAAAGTAAAAAAACATCTTACTGGTCGTGACTGGTAGCCGACCGAATACACAAACAAAATAAAGGAATAAATAAGCACCGCAAGCATGGCAAAAGTCAAATCTTCTGAAAAGCAAAAATAAAAGCCAAGTCCTAGCTGTATTTGGTCACCTGGTGACACCACTAAGCATCAAGTAGGACATTTACTCAAGTCTTGGGGAAAGATGCTACATTGAAGGCCAGGAGTAGGCCAACTTTGACATTCCAGCTGTTGTGCACTACATCTCCCATGATGCTCTGCCAGCATTATAGCTGTAGGAACATGATGGGTCCACGATGGTACCGAGTGCCAGTTTGGCATCACTGGAATATATGTGTATTTCTCATCTCCTGCCACACTATTTACTGCAGTACAAATGTTACATTCACTGAGGAACAAACCTCTTCCACTGGAGCAAAACCCCAAATTTCCTGGAGGACAGTCATGGCATGGATTCAATGTGCGTGGGCTTATGGCAGGATAGACATAGCTACAAAACACTGCAGTCTGATGGGCGTATAACACTACCACATCTAGTTTTCTGAAAGAATAAAGTCTTTTACCATCGTGAATGAAAGCCACTGATTGCCTCTCCATGTCTACATAATTGTATTGACATTCATTATGTCTAACCATGCATTCTCTGCCAATGCACGATATCGGCTCGGGTAGAATTAAAACGTTAAACCATGAGAGATAAATGTATAAGAAAAATCAGCCAGAGCATTTCACAAATAGTTCACTTATTTTGTAAAGATAGAACAACAGAACTAGGATCCCCTACAATGATAAATCCACGGTTACTTTAAAACTCAGACATTTTATCACAATGCATTGTTCTTTTTCCTGACTACAAGAGGTTTAAGGAACATGTGGAAGTGTCATAAGCAAAGAGATGGGTTTAATGGCCCGCAGCATATTTTCTGTTATTCTCATCTAACCAATTTCATTACTTTTCTTACTCAGAGAATTAATAAAACCCTCGATAGTCATGTGCAGCTCATGACTGGGTCAGATTTCTACTGGTACGATGTAACGCTGCATGGCCCGAAGGGTAGAGGTTAAATAGTTTGGCAGCTTATGGTATTTGCACTGACAGGATGCTAACATCATTCGCATCAATTTAAATCAAACACTTCTACATATAATACCAGTATGGTTACAGTGGTCTGCAAATTGGAATATTATATAAAAGTATGTATTGTGTCACATATTAGAAGATTATATAAATGTATTGTGTCACATAGAAGAGTATATAAAGTATGTACTGTGGGTAGGGGTTACCCATGACCAATTTTGCTACAAGTTATACATTACAGGGTTAATTGTATCATATTTGAGATTTGTATACCAACTATAACTTTTCTAAACATAGCTATGTAAATGATGAAATGCATACTTTGTTATTTCTGGTCACTATGGTAAAGTAGTCTACGCTTCATATTATACATAGAGAGTGCATTGATACACATACATCCCATGTGTCCTCATTATGTTGTGACAGTCCTTATTGTGGGCCCAAATCCCTTTTTTCTCTCTTTGCTAGAAGCTACATATTGTTGGTGTGTCTAAATGTATAACAGAGCTTCCCAGCAATAAAATATTTACTTTAAACTACAATAAATGTGTTTAGAAATCAGTCTGTCTAAATAAAATACATTGTTCATTTTGCATAATTATTAAAGGGACATTATAGTCACCCAGACCACTTCAGCTCAATGTGGTCTGGGTGCCAGGTCCCTCAGGTTTTAACCCTTCAGATGCAAATATAGCAGTTTCAGAGAAACTGCTATGTTTACATTTGGGGTTAAGCCAGCCTCTAGTGGCTGTCTTCTGGACAGCCACTAGAGGCGCATCTGCGACGCTGGAGGCATATTATGCCTCCATCGCGCAGAGCGTCCATAGGAAAGCATTGAAAAATTCTTTCGTATGGACACTTTGAATGCGCGCGGCACTTGCCGCGCATGCGCATTTGGCTCCAGTGACATCGGACGGGGGAGCTGACGTCGGAGTGGGTGGAGAGGTCACCAGCGAAGAGGGAGCCCAGCGCTGGAATAAGGTAAGCTGCTGAAGGGGTTTTAAGGGTGGGGGCACCCTCAGGGCACCGCTTTGTTTTCCTTATACTATAGTGATCCTTTAAGCCACTTAAAATTTCTTAGAACAGACCTGCCTCTGACCACACACCCACTCACACCACTTACAATGAATGTGTCCATAATTATGTGTCCATTTAAAATGTTTGTCCTATCAAAGACATCCACTTTATATATATTACCATGTGGGAGGTTTACTAAATGCACTGCCTGCATTATAGAGCAGATTCCGGCCTTTTTAAAGTTCGCTTTGGAGATATTACACTTTCTGCTTTGTTAATATTTTTACTATTTTTATACTGTATGTCGATTTTTGCAAGCGCAAGCATTTCATGCTGTCATAGTTTATACATGTGACCAACTCGTTTCTATTGATGTTTGAACAAAATGCATCTGCCAGGGCTGCTAAGTGAACAACCTTCATACAAAGTTACATATAGTTTATGGAACTTAAAATTAGGTTTATTCTTTCTAGCGTCACATAAGATACATTTACTAAAACACTCTGGGCACCGCAACACCATCATTGGAATGAAGTTGTCATTGTGTGAGGAGGTCTCCAGCTTACCTCAAGGGGGTTATACAGTTAACAAAGAGTTTAAACCCTAATTGTGAATCCAGTACCCAATCAAAGCCACGCACTGGGTTGCAGGTGATAGGCCGAGAGCATCAGCCCATCAGTAGCTCCTCATTTACAAAACATCTTGAGAAACTCACGTATGTTTCTCACTCCAACAAAGTTGTTATGGTGCCCAGAGTGTCCCTTTATATCTAAAATGTATTTGTACTGTATATAATGTAAGAATAATTTAAATTGTAAGGTGGCTTGGGCTGGACTTCCTTCTACTCTTCCCATATGTCATGCATGCTTTGTATGACAGCGCTACAGAATATGTTGGAGCTATATAAATAATTGTAATGCCCAGCGCTGTAAACATAGTGTCACATTTAGCAAAAACATAAATAAAACATTTACACCCCCAAAGGGGTTCAAAGGAGCACTTGGACACTGCCTGTGTTGGCACCTCAGATATTTTTGAACTACAGTACTCATCATGCTCAGCCAGCCTTAAAGAGGACTTGCATTCCTCCTACCAGCAGGAATTATTTTAATTGACACATTTTCATGTGTGGCTTGTATGAATTGTTTGAAGGTGAAATGCAATCACACCCCCTTCATACTAAACTCCATTTTATATTGCACAATGCTGCATTTTCACATGCAACGGGCCCAAGGGGTTTTATCTATAAAAAAAAGGATCTGATCATGTCTTCACCTTAGCAGCTTGCCATGTCATTTTGGTTTTATTTTTTGTGCTATCCTGTGTCCACACTTTAGCCAGACAGGTATAAAATATGCATTGCTTACTCAGACCCCTCACTGAGCCTTAGGGCTCCTCCTTATCATTGCTGCAAGTCTAACCCTGAGACACCAATCAATCTGGAATCCTTTAGTGATGTCTGTTGCTGGCCAGAAGAGTGGGCTGCCCTGCACAGGGCGAGGTCGAGTAGTGGGGGGAGGGTAAGATTGTCTGGCAAAGGGATGGGCTGCTAAGGCTTCAAGGGGCGTGTCCCACAGGCAGGATTTATGCCAATGAGGGGGTGTGTCATGGTAAGGGGGCGTGTCCCATGTAACAAAGAGCGCTGGATCAGAATACTTATATAATTTTATACAATGTATCCGTAACATTCTACGAATGCTAACGATACAAGTAAACAAAGTAATCAAGCCAAGATTCTAAGCACAGGACAAGCCAGAGCCAGGACCTGGAAAGCAGGGGGAGATAAGCACTCCAGAGGTCATTTGAGGTGGTCTTCTCAGATCAGGACCCAGTGACTGCCTATGCTCCTCCCTCCTGTGTTACCCCAGTTCCCCTCTTAAAATACAACCTCTGGGACGATTTATTTTATTAGTAAAATATGTAAAAAAAAATTTTTAACTCACAACAACACTCCTACTCATATCACAGTTTTTGCAATCAGAGACTCCAAATATTTCCTGTCTTGGTACACATTTTGTTAGTGAGACCCAATATTTACAAATATTTATAACATATTATGATACATATTAACATGCTTTTGCATTCCTTATAATACAATGTCACTGTACTGGACTGTGCTGTTTGCATCTGCCTGTGTTGTTTGAAAGCACAAAAAAACAGCATTGGTGTTACACACAGACACACACTACCCTGGAAAAACTGACACACAAGTTCTGTATGCACTATGCACCCACCCAAGTAATTGCACCCTTGGAGCCTGGAGTGCCCTACAGTTTAAAAGCAGGACAGCCCCATGATCACTCATTGAGACTGAGAAGGAGCACTTGGATCTGCCAAGTGCCCACTCCCATTAGTCACACTATGTCACCAATAGGTTTCCTGTCACACCTGAACAGAGACTGAGAGTGGGTGTGACCTGCATCAAACTTCCAGTGTATTTATGGACTGACAACGATACCATTTTTTTGTTGTTGTTGTACAATGTGAAATTAGGATCATTTGTAAAAATAATAGCTCTGCATCTGTCTAGGTGATTATTTGATTTTTTTAAAGGGGGATGGGGATGGGGGGTTGTCCCTTTAACCCTGTCAGTGCCAATTGTGGCAGTTAGAAAGCATGGCACCCCATGTCCCTCCCCAGCACTCCGAGGGTTAAGGCAAGGCAGGGCTAATGAAAGGACAGCACTGACCTGTGTGTGTCCTCAAATGAGCTTTCAGATGGGATGATTTGCCATAAACTTTTTCACAGCCAGAGTAGGGGCACTTGTGCTTTTTGAGGGGTGACTCAGGGTCAAATCTGCTTTTCCCACGCCTGGCTCTTTGTACAGGGCTTGGCTCCTGCTGGAGGGGGTGTGTGCCCTCTGTGTCTCCCTCTTTGCTAGCTGGAGATACCAGATCCTCATCCTCCTGCTCCCCTGTGGGCACAAGGCTCTCCTCTGCCTTTATCTTATCTGTGCTGGCAGGGTGGACGGAGAGGCTTGGGACTTGCTGGTTGAGATCAGCTAAAATCCTGGCGACCACAAACAGAGATGCATTATCTTTCCCAGCCTCTCTCCTGTCTTCTCCCAGGACCGTGGAGGGATCTGCTGGAATAGCTTCACTTTTCCCATCAGGGAGCCCATTATGAGCATGGACAATAGCACGACTGGACATAGACACAAGGCACTCAGCAGCGAAATGGTCCACATAGGCGGCTGTTGACATTTTCATTCCCTTTCCTGGCATCCAATTGCACTGTGCTCCCTTCTTTTTTTTTGCATCCAAGGTGGTTGTAGATTTTTATTATTATTAATATGGATTTTTTTTTTTTAATTATTGGTAAAGACTGATTGTTAAGTGACAGCAAAATTGCACTTGGTCCATGGAGATCACGCCCAACTTGCATAGGAAACTAAATCCATCAGAGCCCATGAGAGACAAGAGGAGTCCTGGCATTGACAGCTGTTGATAGATCCTGGTTGTATAGTAAAATGAATAATTAAAAAAAAAAAATAATAATAATAAAAAATAAAAAATCAGGGGTGGGTGGCTGTGAAGGCAAATGCTGTGAATCCAGATCTTACATCTTGCTTTGCACGGTGGCAGTCAGAGGTGCCTTTACTCCCTGCTATTGCACTGAGTGAATGGGTTTTAGTCCCCACGTGGGGGTGTGGCCTGGAGAAACATCTGTGGGTGACGTCACCAAGAAGCCACATCCTGGCTTGATCAGCCTAGGAAGAAGAAGTCATCCCTGACTCTTAGCAGCAGATCTGCAGAGCTTGGGGTGTTCTTTGCTCAGAAGAAGCCACAGCCTTGCAACTAAAGGGATAACAACTGATTGGTTTCAGCAGGCTGGGAGACCCAATCACAGGCTTGTTTATGCAAATACCATTGGCCCTTTAATATTATTTTTTTTTTATTATTTTTTTTTTTTGCAACTTGGGAACTGCAGGCAACATGAAAAAGGGGGGTGGGGGGTAGAAATAACACCACCCGAGTTCAATAATAATTTATTCATCATTGTGCAACGCTGACAATGAGTGTACGCCGTGCCTTGTGTGGAGGGATTTGCAAAACACGTTGGCAGGGATTTAGATGCATTGCTTAATCCCTGCCAAAAAGATTTTACACTCAAATTTTATGTGGGCAAAAAATAAATAAATAAATAAAAAAAATAAAAATAAAAAAATAATAATGTGTGGCTCTGACAATGGCTCCCACTTCAAACAGCAGTTTATAGACAGAGCCTATAGTGAGTGGGTATATTACTCGAATCCTAATATGATTAAATGCTCTGCCCATCTGCAGCTAGTATTGGGATGTGCAGAGCAAAGGGATTATTGGGGATACTGTGTAAATGCCAGATGCTTCTTTTCTCAAACATTTCTGCCATTTTTGCTTTGTTCTTTGTAACAAAACAAAGACCATGTTTTTTATGTTTTTTTTTAAATATATATATTTTTTTTATTAAATGTGTTTAAAGTGAATGTTGCACTGAGTGAATGGGTTTTAGTCCCCACGTGGGGGTTGTGTCACATTCATAGGAAGATACTACTCTAACAGGTGCCTAATAAAAAAAAAGCATATGTTCAGCTTTGAGTCGTTTATTATATATAAGAATGATGGTTTGTGGAGGTGGGTAGTAGACAGGATGGGATGGACAAAAGTTACCTGCCCAGCTTCTTAGAACTACAATTGCTTTCTGGACCTGTACATCTACATGTATCTACCCCTGGTTAAGACAATCACCATTGTATGTGTTATTGTGTGATCAATATATGTGTATGCAGAATAGAGCAATCTAAGGGAGTTGCTTATTCCATTCACATGTGACAGACGGGCCACAAAACACCACATTTTAGCAAAATAAACCCAAATGGCAACGGGAAGGCTAAAGTAGCTGATTAGGAAACATTCTGTAATTTAACTATAATCACAGCTTGGCTGTTTTGACTCAGATTTGCCATTTGGATTTCATTCTTTAAAATGTGGTGTTTAGTGAGTGACCATATAAATTGTAAAAACTTAAGTGAAGCCGTAAGCACTAGACAGAAAATAAAACTAACCGGGGGTTCCTAGGATCCCCATTTAAATGGTTCTAAGCAGGTGGTCATAAAAACAAATATGGGGGTTTAGTTCCACAATACAGCCACATCTAGTTAAGCCCACCACTGCATCCCCAATATTGGTACCAATATCGGTAATATGGCCATATGATGGAACTGAATCCACATGTTAGTTTGCTGGTATAGTAGCCTTGTAAAATGTAAAACAATGTTTTTGTGTGTGTGCTGTTCCTTCATTTGTATTTTGAATACATTTTGGTCTTCACGGCAGCACCACTGATGAGAAATGCATGTTCCAAGTGTGTCCCCGATCCCTTATATTCAGACCCAGACTGGCCAGAGATCTCCCCTGTTGCCCCATGCAATCCCATCACAATCCGAGCAACACTCACACACACTGCACCCCACACACACACAAACTCACTGCACCACATACTCATACACACACTGCACCCCATAGACACACGCACACACACACCACTCCTCACATACACTCAGCACCCCTCACATATACACATAGCACCCTCACACATACACAATACTTCTAAACATATATATATACTATAGACATTCCATTCCATACACATTCTAGATCCCTTTCACAACTCTGGACCATACACACACACACACACACACACACTAGATCCCATGTACACACTCTGAATCCTCTACACACACACTAGATTTTCTTTACACACTCTGGGTCCTTCAAGCACATACTAGATCCCCTACACACACACTGCACCACCTACACACACTACATTTCTGTAAGCAAACACATACTACATTCCCTAAGCACACACTCTCTACAACCCCTACACACTACACACACACACACACTACAACACACTACAACTCGTACACACACACACACACACACTACAACATGTATGCACAGACTCACTGCATCTTCTATACACTCTATGCCCCCTATACACACACTCTCTTACTCTCTCCATCCTCTAGCCCACATGTTACACCAAAAAACACAACATTACTGAAGCTGACCTATTTACACCATACCACACCACAATCAGTTCACCCTTTGCACATGCAATGCCCCAAGCAGGCTCCAAACACATGCACAATACTCTTTCCTGGTGCTTTTGTCTCCTTGTATCCCACTTATGGAGACACAAGAGACAAGTTACAAGCAAACACAGCGCAAGCATGCTAATAAATTTGCTTGCACTGCGCAGAACAAATACATGGCTTTTTCTCAGCAGAGCTCTGCACTTGGTCTGCCCTGGAAGAGCAATCAACCAACATGCTCACTTTGAGAGGGGGCGTGCTTGCCATTGGTGATGACAAAGCACACTTTCTCTGGCCCATCCCCTTCTCATTGGGCTGCTGTGATAAAAAAATGCCCGGCCTGAATTTTTTCCCAGGCCGACCCTGCTTATATTCTATGACACCACATGTGTATGATATGTAGTGTGTATATGTATAGGGGTTCTAGTCAGTGGCGGATCCAGGGGGGGGGCAACAGGGCAATTACCCCCCCCCCCCTGAGAAAACCGACGGTCTCCCTCTCCCCTGCCAGGACATGCAGGTGCTAGCCCTGCAATGTGCCTGCGGACCGGGGAGGGAGATCAGAGATCAGAGATCTCCCTCCCCGGTCCGCTGGCACTGTGTTGACAGAGAACAGGGGATGGAGAGGGAGGAGTGATGACCCAGGAGCTCAGGGTGCAACTCCTCCGGATCCTACTCTCGCGAGATTTGGAGCGTTGTGTGGTTACCACGGCAACGCTACGAATCTCGCAAGAGTGAACTCTAGCCCTGGAGCGCGGGCTAGAGTTCACTCTCCCCATTGGGACCACCAGGGAATCACCACTGGGACCACCAGGGAATCCACCACGGACCACCAGGGATGGAGAAATGTGGACATAGAATATTTATTTATTTTAATTAAATAAAAAAAATATATATTATAAAAAAAAAGCCCCCCTACCCTTATCACACACACATACACTGCCCCCCATACACACACACACACATACATTGCCCCATACTGCCCCCATACACACACACACTGCCCCCACACACACACACACTGCCCCCCACACACACACACACTGCCCCCCACACCCACACACACACACATACTGTCCCCATACACACATACTGCCCCCCATACACACATACTGCCCCCCACACACACACTCTACACACATACACTACCCCCATACACACACACACACTGCCCCCATACACTGCTGCCCCATACACACACATTGCCCACACTCACACATACACTGCAATACTCACACACGCACACACTGCAACTGTTACACACACACACTGTCCCACACATACACTGCATCCCTGACATACACTGCCGCCCTCACTCACACACTACAACCTTCACACACCTGCTCTTTCCCTATGTTATACTGTGTCACTTGTTGGAACTCTGTTACTAGGGTGGGAGCATCAATCTCTTTCTTCAATGCCTGTAGACTGCAACATGCCTTCACTCAGGCAGGGCCAGAAAGGGACATTCAAATTTGGTCATGGCAGTTTAAATCAAATGGCCCTGCTTTTGGGGGGAGGGGGTGGCAAGAGTGTTAGATCCTAAACAATTACATGCATTGCACGTCTTCCCAAAGTGAGCATTTTAGTGTGATGCTTTTCCAGGGCAGCCCAAACGCAGAGCCCTGACAAACAGCTAAAGCAATGGGAAAAGGCTCTGTGTTTGTTTTGCGCAGTGCAAGCAGATTTAATCACACGCTTGTGTTGTGTGTGAGTGTAAACAGGTTTGTTTCTGTTGCATTGTGTTTGTGGTTTAGTATGTGTGGCTATGAGCTGTAGAGAGTATGTGAAGGGAATGTAATATGTGTATGATATGTAGTGTGTATATGTATAGGGGTTCTAGTCAGTGGCGGATCCAGGGGGGGGCAACGGGGCAATTACCCCCCCCCCCTGAGAAAACCGACGGTCTCCCTCTCCCCTGCCAGGACATGCAGGTGCTAGCCCTGCAATGTGCCTGCGGGCCGGGGAGGGAGATCAGAGATCTCCCTCCCCGGTCCGCTGGCACTGTGCTGACAGCCGGCAGGGGATGGAGAGGGAGGAGAGAGGACCCAGGAGCTCAGGGTGCAGCTCCTCTGGGTTCTACTCTCGCGAGATTTGGAGGTAAGAAGGGAGGGGGGGGGACATAGAATATTGATTTATTTTAATTAAATAAAAAAAATATATGTTATAAAAAAAAAGCCCCCCTACCCTTATCACACACACATACACTTCCCCCCATACACACACACACACACACACATACATTGCCCCCCATACTGCCCCCATACACACACACTGGGTTCCCATACACACACACACACTGCCCCCACACACACACACACACACTGGCTCCCACACACACACACTGCCCCCCACACACACATACTGCCCCTATACACACATACTGCCCCCCATACACACACACTGCCCACCATACACACACACTCTACACACATACACTATCCCCATACACACACACTGCTCCCCATACACACACACTGCCCCCATACACTGCTGCCCCATACACACACATTGCCCACACTCACACATACACTGCAATACTCACACACGCACACACTGCAACTGTTACACACACACACTGTCCCACACATACACTGCTTCCCTGACATCCACTGCCGCCCTCACTCACACACTACAACCTTCACACACACACACTACAACCTTCACACACACACACACACACACTGCACCCCTTACACATTGCACCACTCACACACACCACTGCTCCTATGCCCTACTACAGCCCCATTTCCCAGCAGATCTCAGGTAAGTTGTCAAACTGTTCTTAAACGGTTTGACTACTTACTGTGGGAGGGGGTCCGGGCACTATTGACACCATAACCACTACACTGAGCTGTAGTGGTTATTGTGTCTGGATTATTTCTTTAAATAATCTACAAGTGCCCCTCCCGAGATCAGGCTCTGGATCCGCCACTGGTTCTAGTGTGTTGACAGATTGTAGTGTGTGTGTTGCTGTATTAGGAATGCA